GTAATTTGACTTTAAATTTGCGTTTTTAATTTTTGCATCAGACGATATGTAAACTTGTAACGATATGTTACGGTTTTCTGTATCAGTTACAGTTATTTGCATAAAGATCGCATTTTTACATGGAACTATATCACTGATTGTGAATATTGAAACAAAAAGTACAGAATTTTGTGTCAGATTTAGAATTTTGAAGCACTGATTCGTAAATTCGTAACATTCTTGACGTGATACAGAATTTAGGATCAAGGATACAAATTTTTGTATCCGACTGACGTGTTACAGAATTTTGTATCAAGATCGTTACAAAATCCTATATTATTTTTTAGAGTGTGTCTCTCTCGCACCTTTATGGTGCGTCCCATGGGTACGAGTGTTGCTATTTTCATTTCAAGCCGATTTTTTTTTGCGGTGTACGCGTCGAGTCCATTCCAGGGCGTGGTGGCGACTCCTCTTTGAGCAGGCCGCGGCTTTCCGCGTGGGTCGCTGCGGGTCATGGCGCCTCTGTCTCTCTCGCACCACCGCGGGACGCCCCGCCCCGCCCCGCCCCGCCCGCCCGCCCCGCCCCGCCCCACCCCGCCCCGCCCCGCCCCGCCCCACCCCGCGAGTGCGAGAGAGACGACTGCAAGCACGTGAGTAGGCGAACAGTGCGCCGCGGTCAACCGGCCTACCACACTCGACCAGAATAATGCCCACAGACAAAAAAAGAGTTCCACTTCATTGTTTCCGCCGTTTTTAACAATGATTTCAGGTTCAGGCACTCGCTTGTCTTTGCGTGCCTATGCCTAAATCTAATATTGTGCTTAAAACACGCTGCTTTTGTTTGTAAGCTTTTGTTTGTTAGCTGAAATTCTTTGTAAGGTTTTGAGAGTGTGGGACATTACGCATAGTGCCAGTGGTACTGACCCCTGACGTAGAAAACAAAAACAATAAAAACTTTTTCCAATTTTGTTTTTTACAGTGCAGAGTGCATGGCCTGCAGCCCAAGCGGCGGAAAGTGGTGCTGAAAAATGTCCCTGCTGACCACCACACCACTAATAGTGAGTAGCAGCGGCGTTGCGTGGCGGGGCCCATAACGTTACGCCTGACAACTGGGCGTCGACCGCCCGGCCGCGCACCGCGCAGCACCGCGCAGCACCGCGCAGCCAGAGATCCAATTACTTAGCTTCCCGCGCGGGCCCGGGTTCGATTCCCGCCTCCGCCGCGCACTTTGGCGGTGTCTCTTTCGCTATTTTTAAGTTCCGTCGCCGAAGGTGACCCGCACGGGGACCGGCGCAGCTAAGGAGTTGATTCCGTTTGATTTATTGCGGGATGTTTTTGTTTTTGTTTTTGGCCGGCTTTGCTCTACGCTACGCCTACGTCGCTATCTTCCCTTGCCTGTCGAGTATGACTGATGCCGTCTCCCACACCGTCGAGGTAACGAGCACCCTGTCCGCGAAAAAAAAAACAAAGAGGACCGCCCGAAAAAAGGAAAAGCTAAACCGTTTTAGGTGCGCAATTTGCGGATTTAGAGTCTCGCGTGCATGCATGCACTGCAATGGGAAAATTTCGGTCGTCACTTGAAAGGCCGTAATTTTGAGTACAAGAACAACGGTGACTTTAGAGAGGAAAATGGTAAATCTATCCTTTGGCATTCCCAGGAATAGCGACTCATCCCCAGCAACACACCCAGAAAAATGGTTTCTTGATTTTTAAATTTGCTTGGTTTTTATAATAAAAACCTCTTACCACAAGAAAAATTTTCTGCATACGAGAAAAAAATTTGGATGAAGAAAAATTTTCTTGAAAAAAAAACGAGAAAAGTTATTTTTTTCTTGATTAAAGAAGTCTTTTTTTTAAAGGCAGTTGACGACAGGGAGCCGTACTCTTTTCGTGCACCATTTTCCGTACATTTCTGTACCCCCCCCCCCCCAAAAAAAAAGAAATTGAATTTTTTGTATGCATGCTGCTTGTTTCTGGCGAAAGGCTCCCGAAGATCAAGTGGCAACGGCACGCTCAGGGCATGAGTGGAATGCGCGAGACGTAATTTGAAAGTCAAGCCTTGCAGTGTCGCAGCGCAGTTAGCAGGCAGGGCCTGCCTGCCAGCACACTGAGAGTCGTCGCTCTGTCTCTCTCGCACTCACGGGGCGTCCCGTACAGGTGCGAGAGAGACAGGGAATCAGTCTGGGGCCCGGAGCACCCACCTGTGGGGACACTTCGATTGGCGTGGTGGGGGCGGCCGACTTCTAACAGGTACTTCGTTAGTTTTGTGAGAGTGTTTTCTTTTTTTGTGAGGCACCTCGCTGTTGCCACCTGGTAACATGAATTTGCGAGCTGCGGGAGCGTAACCAACTTGGGAAAACATCATTTGTCATGTCCGGTATACACTCTAAAAGAAAACAGCACTTTTACAGTGTACTGAGTTTTAATTCGTGTCCAGATTTCGAGTGAGCTGTATCGTCCGACAAAGCTCCTCAACTACACGAGAATTTTGAAAATTCAAAGACGTTTTACCCCTAATGCTGTAAGTCATAACGTGACAACACTTTGTTTTTACAGTGTCGGGGGGTGAAGCACCCGGGCCAAGCGGCCAAAGCGCTCGGCCCGTGGATCTGCCCCTGGCCCTGGGAGGGTAGGCAACCTTCAGCGAGGCGCCGCTGCTAAGCGCCAAGGTGAAGGCCTGCCGCTAAGTGGATCAGAAGCGGTACCAGTGCAGGGGAGGGGAGGGGAGGCACAGTGGGCCGGCGGACAAAACTCTAGACGCGTTTTGAGCTCCAGAGTCGCTAAATGGGACTCGAACCGAACGTGTGACCCCACCAATGGACTCCTCGTTCGGAGAGCAATCCATTGGTGGGGTCACAGGTTCGGTTCGAGTCCCATTTGGCGACTCTGCAGCTCAAAACGCGTCTAGAGTTTTGTCCGCCTCCGCCGGTCTTCTGGCCCACTGTGGGGAGGGGAGGGGTGACGTTCGAGCAGTCATTCCACAAGGCGGATGAATAAGGGAGGACAGTCCGTCCCACCCTATCACGCCAAGGCACGCCAAGGAGAGCAGCTTGATCATGATCGACCACTCGTCAAACGTTAATGCGCTCGCTGCTCTCGACACGAGATCTCGAAAAATCCGATGACCCACTCGCCCGCACACTGGAAACTGAAAAGGTGATGAACTTAGCCACCCTGGGGATCAGAAAAAATTTGTGACAAAATTTGGTGACAATTTAGACTCTTACGACGTAAGAATCATTTCTCGCCAAAATTTGGTGCATAATGTTGGGAAAAGGAACTTTAACTGGATGTAAAATCCGAGTTTGCCAGGGAATGCAGGGAAGAACATTCTCTTGCTTCAAGGGACACACGGCGTTGCAGAACGTCGCTCCACAGTGGGCCAGAAGGCCGGTGGAGGCGGTCAAAATTCTAGACGCGTTTTGAGTTCCAGTGTCGCTAAATGGGACTCGAACCGTACGTGTGACCCTACCAATGGATTCCTCCTTCGGAGAGCAATCCATTGGCGGGGTCACACGTTCGGTTCGAGTCCCATTTAGCGACTCTAGAGCTCGAAACGCGTCTAGAGCTTTGTCCACCTCCACCGGTCTTCTGGCCCACTGTGCGCTCGGTGGCGCGTGGAGACGGGGCAGAGGTCCGCGCAATCAATCTAAAAGTGACTTTGAGATTTGGCCTGTGGCGCGGCGCGGCATTTTTGCGGTGTGCGCGACTCCTTATCACGAGTACAGCGAGTACAGCGACGTCGCAACGCCCCGTTCTGCTTTTGATAAGTCTACAGCAGTAATCAGGAGCGAGAAGTCTGTGCCATGCCCGCCTGTGCATTTATGCGACCAGACGAAAACAGCCCGAGCGATTCGTCGCGCTGTCTCTCTCGCACTCACGGGGCGCTCCGTATGGGTGCGAGAGAGACAGAGCGACGGGCATTCCCTGCCGCTTGTCCTTGTCCTGGCGAGTGCCGGCGCGCCAAAAGGAATACGAGAAGGCGAACACAGTCGTCGCCCTGCCCGGCACGCACGGAGCCGAGGACCCGCACAGTGGGCCAGAAGACCGGTGGAGGCGGCCAAAACTCTAGACGCGCTTTGAGCTCCAGAGTCGCTAAATGTGCCTCGAACCGAACGTGTGACCCCACCAATGGAGTTTTGGCCGCCTCCGCCGGTCTTCTGATCCACTGTGGGGCGGCCGGGCGGCGCTGGTCCGCCACCCCCATGCATTCAACTTCCCGGCCGCCGACACCCCAGCCCAGCCCAGCCCCCGGCCCGCGTCGCGGAGGCTGCGGCCCGCGGCCACGGACGGTCTTAGCTCTGGCCAGTGTCCCTACAGCACAACCAGGCAAAAGTTCCCGCGATGCACCAGTGTCGACAGTTGCCAACCTCGGCCTGCCTACCAGGCAACTCCTCTCGAGCAAAGCCCGGACGTCGCCGGCAGCGAAATCAAAGACAACGGACAGAGGGGCGCCTACAGTGTCGCGGCCCACGGGGAATGACCAGGAAACGAGACATGAATGCTGGCTGGGCGTGGCGGCGACAGAAGGCACCCGAGTGACTACCGTGCATGCAATCTTATCAGTCCTGCTTAGACAAAGGTACATTTTCCGCGATAGGAAAAGGTTCTGAGAACAGTGAGATGAACGCCATGCACTCGGCTTCGGTCACATGTTGGCGGACCGGTGGAGGCGGCCAAAACTCCAGAGGCGTTTTGAGCTCCGGAGTCGCTAAATGGGACTCGAACCGAACGTGTGACCCCCACCAATGGACTCCTCGTTCGGAGAGCAATCCATTGGTGGGGTCACACGTTCGCTTCGAGTCCCATTCAGCGACTCTGGAGCTCAAAACGCGTCTGGAGTTTCGGCCGCTGGCGCCGGTCTTCTGGCCCACTGTGCGGCGCCCGGCCAGCCCGAGTCCTGGGGCCGGGGCCCGTGCCGCGGATCACCAAGTCGCGCTTCGCGGCTTCGCGTCACGCGGGTGCCGGTCCGCGTGACACGCCGTGACGCTTCCCGCGGGACGTCAGTTCGCACTACTCACCATTGCTTTCGGCGTATCCCCACTCCATTTCTTCGAACCAGGCCGACTTCTGCTCGTTGCAGTTGCAGTCCAAGCTGAGTCCGGCGAGTCCGTTCCCGTTGGTGTCCACCAGGCCAAAGACGCCGATGTCGCCCAGGACGTCGCCAGCACCCGGCCGCTCTCTGGGCCCCCCGACCCCCGCGGGGCCCGGGCGTAACCGCCGCCCATCGCCGGCCGGCCCTCCCCCCACGGGGCCCGCCAGGCCCACCACTTCTCTCGACGTCACCAGGCTCATGTTTGTCTATTAAAGCTGTCCTTTAAATTGGAATTTCCTGGGGCAGGGGGGCGGGGGGGCTGGGCAAGGGCTTGCAAAGGGAGAGGAGGGGATCTGGATGCAGTCCGGTGGAGGGGGCTTGCTTGCCGCGGGCCGCGGGGGGCCGGGGCTGTGGGCTGCTATGGGCCTGCAGTGGTCTCCCTGGTCATGAGGTGGGCGGGGCAGGCCGGCGACGCGGGGAGGGGGGCAAGGAGTTGTCGTCGCTGCGCGCGCCGCGCCTGCGCAGGCTGCGTCGGGCAAGTCGCGAAGCGCCAAGCGCGAAGTGGCGGCGCGGCGGCGGCACCCTGAGGACGAGTTCGGCGGGCGCGTCGCCGGGCGGGCCGTCGGGCCGGCGAGGGCTGCGCGGCTGGACCGTTTAAAAGGCGGCGCGGCGCGCGGGGGCGTCACTGCGGCGGCAACGCTCGCCGGGGGAGGAGCGGCACGACGTGGAGGTTCGCGACGACGGCGGCCTCGGAGGCTGCGGCCAGCGGCACGAGCAGCAGGGCGTCCTGGCGGCAACGACGGCGAGCAGGACGGCGACGGGCTGAACCGAACGGCGCGACAGCGGGACGGGACGGCGGCAGCACAAGAGAGATCGGCGCCAAACCACTGACTGACGAGCCGAGTCGGCGTGGCGCGCGCCGAGCCTCCGTCCGTCCCGTCCATGCCCAGTCCATGCGGGGCTCGCCGCGCCGCGCCGCACCGCCCCTCGCGAACGGCCTCTGTCGGCGGTCTCTGTCGCTCGCACCGGCCGACCGGCGGGAGTGCGAGAGAGACGGGCGAGCGGCGTGGTGGTACTCCGGTGCACGCGGCGAGGTGGTGGGGGCACGACAACAACACGGCAGTGGCCGCGTTCGAATCGGTCCGGCTTCCGCCTTCGGCGCGCCGTGCCTTTGGCAGCCTTTGGCCGAGCCGAGCGACGCGGCCGAGACACCCGAACCGTCCCGAACGCGGCCCGAAGTGGAGCCGAAGCCGAAGCGCCACGCGATTCGTGTCGCGGCCGGAGCCGCCGGCGCCCCGCGCACGGCACGCCGTTCGCGCTGTCTCTCTCGCACTCGTGGGGCGTGCCGCATGGGTGCGAGAGAGACAGAGCGGCGAAAACGACTCTCGGAATCAGTCTGCAGCTGGGAGACTGCCCACGCAGCCACCACGCAGCCACCCGTACACTGTCAACGCCGAAAACAGAGCGGGGGGGGGGTAGCTCACATCAGCGAGCACTTATCCTCCAGGACAACGCGTCGGCCTGAACCTGACCCGAACACCCAATCAGCGTGTCCTTATTCCCACGGTGTACCAGAGTCGAAAGGGTTGCCTATCCACCCAGCGAGTAAATCGTAGTAGCCGCTTCCCGCCAAAGCCGGCCAATAACCGCAGCCACGCGCTGCCCGGCCCCCACTGTTTACATTCCCCCCCCCCCACACACACACACTCACACCTCCCGTCTTCCGGCCGTACGACGAGGACGGAAGCACCGCGCCGCCTCGGCCCGCCGACTTTGCCACCTTTTTGGCCCACTCCCCCTCCCCTCCCCCCCCCTCCCCCACCTGCAGCGATTCCAGCCCCGGTCGAGACAAACACGCGGAAACCGGTTCCTTTCCCCGAAACTCCGAAACCACCCCGAAAGCTCCAATTCCCTATCAGATTATTTCCGTCGTCTGGCGCCCGTCTGACCCAGCATTGATTCGACGGTCAACGCGCCCAGTGGCGTGGAATGGAACGGACTCACAACAACACACGCACAGCGGGCCAGAAGGCCGGTGGAGGCGGCCAAAACTCTAGATGCGTTTTGAGCTCCAGCGTCGCTAAACAGACCTCAAACCGAACGTGTGACCCCACCAATGGATTCCTCGTTCGGAGAGCAATCCATTGGTGGGGTCACACGTTCGGTTCGAGTCCCATTTAGTGACACTGGAGCTCAAAACGCGTCTAGAATTTTGACCGCCTCCACCTGGTCTTCTGGCCCACTGTGTGACGCCCCCGGACCAGAGCGCGGCGGCAGCAGGTTTTAGTATAACAGTGTACAAAATTGGCGGACTCTTTTCGCTTGTCAGCTGTTTTATAAAGACAGTGTAGAAAAGTGGCGGGCTCCTTTTTTGTTGCATCCCGTGCCGACATAGCCCCCCCTCCCCTCTGGGGGCCCCTTTCCGATCCGCCTTTTCTACCTAAGCTCTCGGATCGGCTGCATAAAAGTCCTCCCAGTTTCCCCAACCGCCGGCCTTGGCCAGGTGTCCTTGAACAGCTTCGTCCTCTTCGTCCTCCTCGTCCTCTTCGTCCAAGCTCACCTGGCAAAGGACTGACAGGTCGAAGAGACAGAGAGAGGACACGGCAGAAGCTGCTCCAAAATTCCTAACGGAAAGTTTGAAAAAAAAATAGGTGCAGGTTGTTTTATTTTTTGATTTTGAACGTTAACAGTGTATTCGATTTGATGAGGTAGATCGAGGATGCCACTGCAAGCAGGTACAGCAGTGCGGTTGCCAGCACTGCCTCTGTGGGTACTACTACCAACCGAAAAAAAGGAAACATCTGACTGGGTTGCAGATGTGTCACACCGTCGACTGCTTTTAAATTTGCATCGTCTCGCGCGTGTCCTATCGACTTTCGCCTGCCGGGCCCACAGTGGACTGCCCAGCCCACACCTGCATAGCGGCGCCAAGGATTCACTTGTCGAAGAGTCGCTCTGTCTCTGTCGCACTCGCGGGGTCCTCCATGAGGTGCGAGAGAGACCGCTCTTCTGAATGGTTCGGCAGGCTGCTCGAGGTGTGACCGGTGACCGCTGGTCGGGCGAGTTCGTTTCGTCGCTCCGTCTCTCTCGCACCCGTTCTCCCGTGGGTGCGAGAGAGAGAGAGAGAGAGAGAGAGAGAGAGAGAGGGCGTCCAAACGATCAGCAGGTCGGCGGTCGCGTGCCGCGAGTCTGGAGCCAGGGCAGCCAGGGTGACGCCACGGTGACATTGAACCGCCGGCTGCGGACTGAGAGTCGTTTTCGTCGTTCTGTCTCTCTCGCACTCACGGGGCGTCCCGTGCGAGAGAGACAGCCGACCAGTGGGCCGGTCAATGGCGCCGCGTCGCCCCACCTTCATTGACCAGCAGCGCGACGCGACGGACGCCCCGCGAGTGCGAGAGAGACAGAGCGACGAAAGCGCTGTTCGGAATCCGCGTGTCAATACCCCGCGCGCGGAGTGCCTGCAGAAGGCTGTAGCGCACAGTGGGCCAGAAGACCGGTGGAGGCGGACAAAACTCTAAACGCGTTTTGAGCTTCAGAGTCGCTAAATGGGACTCGAACCGAACGTGTGACCCCACCAATGGATTCCTCGTTCGGAGAGCAATCCATTGGTGGGGTTGCACGTTCGGTTCGAGTCCCATTTAGCGACTCTGGAGCTCAAAACGCGTCTAGAGTTTTGGTCGCCTCCACCGGCCTTCTGGCGCACTGTGTGGCGGGGTCTCGAGTCTTGCGGGTGGGGTAGCAGCAGTGTTGTTGAGTCAACTCGTCAACCCTTCTCCACCCTTCTCCCTCCAAGCGCTCTGCACCGATAGCGCTATCACCGACGACACGGCACACTTGCGGCACTGTCGCTGCAAGGCAGTGTACCCGGCAATGAGCAAGTCTGCATCCAATCGAGCGGGCAGCGACCCAGTTACCTCCCGACTAGAAGCCGCTTTTTACCGCCTCTTTGCCCCGCACCACCGCGACACCGTGGCACCGTGGCACCTTCCGTCGCTTTTGCGCACTTCCGGACGCCTTCTGCTAATTTCCTTCCGGAAAACGGTCTGTTTAACCTGCGCCCCGTCGCGGCGTCGCGACGTGGTGAGTCACCGTCTCTCTCTCTCTCTCTCTCTCTCTCTCTCTCTCTCTCTCTCTCTCTCTCTCTCTCTCTCTCTCTCTCTCTCTCTCTCTCTGTCTGTCTCTCTCTCTCTCTCTCTGGACGCCCCACGAGTGCGAGAGAGACAGAGCGACGAACAACGACTCTCGGAATCGGTTTGCTGCGAAGTGCGGCCCCGCTGGCCGGCCGGCCGACTGGTCGTTCGGGGCTCCGGAAGTCCGGAAGTGGCCCCGAATTACGCCGCGGCGTCGCAGACAGTGCTGCCACACAAACAGGCCGAAATTCCCACAATGCACCAGTGTCGAAAGGGTTGCCAACCTCAGCCCGCCTACCAGGCAACATATTTGCTTCGTTATCAAGAAGTTGCCCGGTAGGCAGCGCAGGCTGAGGTTGGCAACCCTTTCCCCACCGGTGGATGGAGGGAGTTTTGGCCTGCTTACGTGGCAGCACTGGGGAAGGGGATCGAACGGCCGTCGGTCCCGGAGGCAGCCTAGGCAGCCGACGCACAGTGGGCCAGAAGACCGGTAGAGGCGGCCAAAACTCTAGACGCGTTTTGAGCTCCAGAGTCGCTAAACAGGACTCGAACCGAACGTGTGACCCCATCAATGGATTCCTCGTTCGGAGAGCAATCCATTGGTGGGGTCACACGTTCGGTTCGAGTCCTGCTTAGCGACTCTGGAGCTCAAAACGCGTCTGGAGTTTTGGCCGCCTCCATCGGTCTTCTGGCCCACTGTGCGACGCGGCGCACTGTTTTGCCGCCGTGCCGCTGTGCCCGGCTTTGCCGCTTTGCCGCTTTGCCACGCGACCTTCCGAATCCGCGCGGCAGGGCGCGGCCAATCGGAAACGACCAGCACCGCGTCGTTTTCCTCGTCGCCCCGTCTCTCTCGCACTCGCGGGGCGACCCGTCCTGGTGCGAGAGAGACGGAGCGACGAGGCGGCGCAGAGCTCCACACTGGTACACTTTGGCCCGCGAAGCGCGCCAAGCGGCGCCAAGCCGAAACAGTGTTTTGGCAAACTTTGGCCCGGTTCCGCGTGGTTCGCGGTTCGGCCGCCGCGCGTGCGGCGCCACCGTCGCCTCCCTTCGGTACGCACCCATTTGACGACGCACAGTGGGTGGAGGCGGACAAAACTCTAGACGCGTTTTGAGCTCTAGAGCCGCTAAATAGAACTCGAACCAAACGTGTGACCCCACCAATGAATTGCTCTCCGAACGAGGAATCCATTGGTGGGGTCACAAATTGCACTTTGCGCAACACTTTCGCTGAAGACATCACCGGCGGTGCTCCGCTGGCCGCGTGTGCGTGGCGCGTGTTATCGGATCGGCATTTCTTTTGTCGCCGATAAGTACAGCGCAACGGTTTTAGCCTGTCCATTTATAGGCCGTGATTACATCAGGGAACAATCCTCTCTTGCCGACCGACGATGCTCTTAACTCGGTGTTGAATGGCGGCACGGCGGCAGCGAGTGCGGGTAAACGTTCCGAGAATGCCGTCGTTGGGGTTGGCCAAGCCAAGCCAAGCCGAGCCGCACGCACAGTGGGCCAGAAGACCGGTGGAGGCGGCCAAAACTCCAGAAGCATTATGAGCTGCAGAGCCGCTAAACGGGACGCGAACCGAACGTGTGACCCCACCAATGGATTGCTCTCTGAACGAGGAATCCATTGGTGGGGTCACACGTTCGGTTCGAGGCTTGTTTGGCGACTCTGGAGCTCAAAACGCGTCTCGAGTTTTGACCGCCACCACCACTGTGCCGCCGAGTGCGTTGGGTTGCCTTACTCGCAGGCGTTCCGTGCAGTTCCCTCGAGGTGGCGCGGTGCTGCCACCGCCACACCTCTCTGTCCGTCTCTGGACGTGACTTTGTAATGTCCCTCTCGACCGCGGACGGCACGCCAGCAGACTGATTCCGAGAGTCGTCGCTCTGTCTCTCTCGCACCCGTACGGGACGCCCCGTGGGTGCGAAAGAGACAGAGCGACGGTTCTCGGGAGCAGTCCGCGGAGGGGACACGCATCAGGGGAATCCTAAGTGAAGCCGAGCAGCGCGTCCCGAACGTCGCCGCGTGTTTTGCGGTGTTTTGCCAACGCGGCCGGCATCGAGCGCGTCGCTCTGTCTCTCTCGCACCTGTGCGGGACGCCCCGTGAGTGCGAGAGAGACAGACGACAGGCCGCGGTCGGAATGAAGAAATGATGCGGGCGCGTTCGGAACGCTCGCAAAGCAATGCCCTGTGGTCCGTGGCGTCGCGGTGGTGTCCGTTTCGACCGAGCGGACCTAGGGGAGGAAGGCCGCTGTTTTCGGAAGAAACAGAAACGCACACAAACGCCGCGCCGCCGCCATCCAATAGACAATCAATCAGGATGGCCAACTTGGGAACGCTGGCCGCGTGGTGGTGTGGTTGCGGCCGGCCCACAGTGGGCCGGCAGGGAAAACCCAAGGAAACTAACGAGAGGGACTTTCAGAAGAGATTCCAAAACAAACTCCCCTCGCCCCAGCCAAAAAACAAAAACAACTTAAAAATACAAAACGTTGGAATAAAACAAACAGTGTCTTTTATTTAGTAATTTCAAGTCGCGTAACCATAGTAACTAGACTCTATTTTCTGCGGGTCAAACACACACGCCTGTGCAAGTTCGAAGCAAAATGTAGTGCGCTACTTCCAACCGGCGGGCCAGTTAACAAAACTAATAAATAAACTAATACTTGGGCAAAACTCAGTCGTACTCCGCCCCTATGGTGATGCTGATGTCTTCCGAGACGATCTTGGTCGAGTGGTACCACTGGTTCGTGTCCAGCACAACTGAATGGCACAAAAAGACAGCAAAAAAAGGAGTTAATAATTTATTTGCTTCGGTTTGACGTTCGTTTCGCGGCCGAAAGGCGAAGAGAGCTGATTCTTCACTCAAACAAAAACAAAACACTCTTGCGGCGACACTGCGCTGACTCAGCGACCCGTTCGGTGGGGCGGGGAGGGGGGAGGGACTTTCACTGTCTTATTTCTGGGCCTCGGCCCGAGGCGCCGCGGCAGACCGGACGGCTACTCGGAGCCCCTCCCTCCACCAATCCGATATGGTCTAGTGGCTAGGATACCTGGCTCTCACCCAGGAGGCTCGGGTTCGATTCCCGGTATCGGAACTATTTTTTTTGAAGCGGCCTAATTTCTTGAAACTTATTTACTTTGCATTCTGTTTTTTTTTCTCAAACCGAAAACAAGTCGAATACGGCAGAGGAGCAAATACTCACTGATCTCTCCCGGCTGCACGACCACTGAAAAGGCCTGGCACTCGTACAGGCACTCCGGGGGCGGCTGCAGCGACCACAGCTTGGCGCCGCGCAGCTGGGCCTGCCACGAAGGGTGCCTCACGTTGTCCACCTGGCCAACAGTCACAGCCGCGTCACATCCACGTCACATCCACGTCACATCGCCACATCACACCTGTCCCTGGACCCGCCCTTGCGGGGGCGGGGCCTAGGCCGGGCACGAGCTCGGCCTGCTTGGCGTGGAGCAGCGCGCCAGAGGGCCAAGCGCCTGCAATGCGCGGGGTAGGCAGGCCCGCCACGCCGCGCGGTCGAGCGAGTGCCTGGTGCCTACCTCGCAGGCGGCCGAGAAGGTGAGTCACACCACCCCACAGTGGGCCAGAAGATCGGCGGAGGCGGCCAAAATCCCGGACGCGTGTTGAGCTCCTCATTCGCTAAATAGGACTCGAACCGAACGTGTGACCCCACCAATGGATTGCTCTCCGCACGAGGAATCCGTTGCTCGGGTCACACGCTCGGTTCGAGTCCTGTTCAGCGACTCTGAAGCTAACGAGTCTAGAGTTTTGGCCGCCTCCACCGGTCTTCCGGCCCACCGTGCACCAGCGGCGTGCTACTCACGTGCATCTGCGCGCCGAAGCCGCTGCTGCCCATGAAGATCCAGTCCACGTTCTTGTTCTCGGACAGGCTGGGCAGGAAGTAGGGGCGGCCGTAGTGCGCGCGCAGCAGGCGGGCCACCTTCTCGTCGCAGTTGCTCCTGCAGAAGGCAAAGTCAAGCAGCAGCCACCCTCGCCTGCAGCGTCGCAAGACCGGTGGAGGCGGCCAAAACCCTAGACGCGTTTTGAGCTCCAGAGTCGCTGAATGGGACTCGAACCGAACGTGTGACCCCACCAATGGACTGCTCTCCGGACGAGGAATCCATTGGTGGGGTCACACGTTCGGTTCGAGTCCCACTTAGCGACTCTGGAGCTCAAAACGCGTCCGGGATTTTGGCCGCCTCCACCGTTCTTCTGGCAAATCCACTGTGCCCTGCGGTGTCCTGCCTCACCAGCCGATGTACCAGGGCTTGGCGCCGGGCCGCATGGCGGCGCGGTCCGCGTCCATCTGGAAGACCTCGCGCAGGCTGCGGAAGTCCGTGCTGTAGGGGAAGAACTGGCAGCGGTCCTGCACCGAGTCCGGCGCCGCCAGCGACTCCTCGTAGATGCCCTTCAGGTAGTCGAACGAGAACGCGGTCGGCGCCGTCCAGTTGAGCATGGCGTCCTGGATGACGACGGGCCTGGCCGTGTAGGCGTACCTGCCGATCCCAAAGTTAGACGGCCAAAACTCCAGCCGCGTTTTGAGCTCCAGAGTCGCTAAATGGGACTCGAACCGAACGTGTGACCCCGCCAATGGATTGCTCTCCGAACGAGGAATCTATTCGTGGGGGGGTCACACGCTCGGTTCGAGTCCTGTTTAGTGACTCTGGAGCTCAATACGCGTCCGTGATTTTGACCGCCCCTGTAACGGCACGAGAAGTCACCTGTCCTCGAACTCCTGCGGGGTGATGGCCTTGACGTGGTCCACCTGGGAGACGTCTCTGCAGATGGTGCAGTCCACGGGCGGGCGCGTGAGCAGCGTCAGCGAGTCCGGCACTTCCCACAGGCACTGCACAGTGGACCACGCGGTCAAAACTCTAGACGCGTGCAGAGCTCCAGAGTTGTCAAACAGGACTCGAACCGACCGTGTGATCCCACCAATGGATTGCACTTCGAACGAGGAATCCATTGGTGGGGTCACACGCTCGGCCCGAGGCCTGTTTAGCGACTCTGGAGGTCAAAACGCGTGTTAGAGTTTTGACCGCCGGCTGTCCCTGTTGTCAGCGGCGCTGCCTCCAACGATACCGACCTGGCGGTTGCGGTGGCCGGGCCACCACCACAGCCAGCCGTACAGCACGCACGCGGCCGCCGCCAGCAGCACGACGCACGCGACGCGGGCGCGCGCCTTGGCCACGCTGCGGAGCACGCCGAGCAGGGCGTCGCGCAGCCGCGCGGCCCCGTCGTGCGGCGTGAGGGTCTTGGCGGCCTTGACGTCGTCCTGGAGGAGGCCGCGGACGGAGGAGAGGCGCGCCAGGTCGGCCTTCAGAACCACGGCGTCGGCGCGGCTCAGGATGTGGCGGAGGCGGAGGGCGGCGGCGTCCATGGCCGGGCCGGCGGCACGGCCTTGACGGCCTCCTGGAGGCAAGCCTGGAGGCGCGGCCCGCGAACCTAGACATCGACATTCCTCTCACTTGCGGCATTTGTTCGGGCACCGTCGTCGTCGTACAGTGGCCTAGAAGGCCGGTGGAGGTGCCCAAAATTTTAGACGCGTTTTGAGCTCCGGAGTCGCTTCACAGGACTCGAACCGACCGTGTGACCCCACCAATGGATTCCTCGTTCGGAGAGCAATCCATTGGTGGGGTCACACGTTCGGTTCGAGTCCCATTTAGCGACTCTGGAGCTCAAAACGCGTCTAGAATTTTGGCCGCGGTCCTGATCGGTTCGGCCCCGCGGCCGCCGGTCTGCAGATGCACACGTCGCCGCACTGCCGGCAGTGTGCCAGTCTGCCGCTCGCACCATCTGTCGGCCGCCACGACAAGCTCCCGCGGCCGCGGCGGCTCGACGCGGTGCTCGGGGCATTATCCTCGGCAACGCCGTTCTCTGTCAGTTGTCAGGATGGCCGAGCGGTCTAAGGCGCTGCGTTCAGGTCGCAGTCCACTTCTGTGGGCGTGGGTTCGAATCCCACTTCTGACAGACACTTTTATCTGTACGGCTGTTTGCGAATTCTCTCAACGCACATAGTCTACGACACGTGGCAGTTCGCTTGGAGGTGCGCTCGTAGCATTTTCAAGTTACAAACTTTGTCATTTTTGCAACTGACGACGTGCTACGTACCCACGAGTTGTTGACCAGTCTCGAGAAGTCTTTCAGGACGAAATAAGCGGGGATGACCGCAGCAGGACCCAGGCTGCACGAGGTGGCTCAAGTCCTCCAAGCACCCCCTGAAGCAGGACAGCAGGGCGTGGGCGGCGCCTGGGCAGCTGGAGCGCGACTGTGTGGGACGTCGCAGCAGCACAGCAGCGCCGCAACCCCTCGGCGACCCTGACGGGGTGGCCGGGGTGGCGACGGGGAGGGAAGGCCCGCCGGCCCGCCGCGCAGCCACAAGTGGTCCACGGAAGCGCCGGGCCGGGCGGGGCGCAGCTGTCGTCGCTCTGTCTCTCTCACTCTCATGGGGCGTCACTTGCGGGTGCGAGAGACACAGAGCGACGACTCTCGGAATCAATCTACTGGCCGTGGCCCGTGGACCGCACGGCGGCGGTCGCGTATACTGCGTCGCGGTGCTCCACGTCGACTCGGTGTCTTCCGTCTCCGTCGCTCTCGCGGCTAGCGAATGGGGGTGACGGAGGCAGGCGCCGCCCGCACCCCCCGGACTGCCTCCCTCCGCGTTCCACTGGTTCCACTCCGGAGGCGGCCCCAGGCCCCAGGCCCGAGGCTGCGACGCGGCGCGCGTTGATAAGGGCAGCTGCGACCCAGCGGACCAGTGGAGGGTGAAAACGCGCCGGGGTGTCGCGCGGAACGGAAAAAAAGAGCAAAACATCCCCGGAGAGCTATTTTTGGGGGGGAAATTTACCACCGCTGTCTCCGGAGTTTACCGCCTGCGAGCCTACGATGGGGGTGCGTTTTAAGTTTGACGTCCTAGTCAACCAGCAACACGCCCACGCATCGGCACTGTCACCCCGTGCACTGCAGCCCCGGCTGGGCTCAACTGGCTCGACCCACTGAGGCAGGAGCACAGTGGGCCAGAAGACCGGTGGAGGCGGCCAAAACTCTAAACGCGTTTTGAGCTCCCGAGTCGCTAAAAAGGCCTCGAACCGAACATGTGACCCCACATTCCTCGTCGGGAGAGCAATCCATTGGTGGGGTCACACGTTCGGTTCGAGGCACATTTAGCGACTCTGGAGCTCAAAGCGCGTCCAGAGTTTTGGCCGCCTCCACCGGTCTTCTGGCCCACTGTGCAGAGCCAGGCCGCGGAACCTAATCATGGACCAATTTGAAAGCTGGTGAGCGGGAAAACGAGTTTTCCGCGTCCCCGGCCACCGGATGGGACCACCAGGCCACGCCAGGCCACGCCGGGCGGGTCCCACCGCCACCCCTCGCCCCTCATCGCCTTTGAGGCTGGCACCCGCTTCCCCTCCCCCTCCCTTTAGGTCTGACGGACACTCAAGCTTTTCACAGGGTAGACACAGAGTCGATTAACTTGAGAGACGTGTGTGGTATGCTGACGATTGTAGAACCTTGAATCTTCTTATGGAGTTCCAGATTGACAGAGGTTCACACGTGAAAAATACAGTAATGGGTCATCAGAATGTTTTATTTTGCGTTAAGATCACATTTACGTAAGTTTGTGTATGCATAAACAAAGTCTAACATTTACCATGAGATTGGTTGTTTTTACATGTCTATGGGTCATGGTCATGATTGCCATCCCAACAGCATATTTTCATGAAATCAAATGCAAAACCATTGCATTACAAGTTGCATCACACCACGATCACACAGAAATTTCCATTAATTTTACATAACATCTACCATCACAACACGAATCAATGCCAAAATTTTCCGTGATTAAGGACACAAAGTGCAGAGACAGTAAATGTTGCAAGCTTTTCTTAAAAACAAAGAAAATTAAAATTTGCCTTTTAATGGTTAAGCAAAGTGCCTTTGAAAAATGTTTCTGTAAAATAATACTATCAAAACTTCTTCCTAATAAATAGCTTACTGACACATCCAACAATGCCATGCTCACAGTTTATGTTAAGCATCTTGCCTAGATAAATAAAAATAAATAACAACTAGTAGTTTAAACTCATGCTGTCATCAACATTAATTTTTAAAAGTTTCAATTATTAATACAGTACTTCTTAAAGTATAAACAAACAATGCCAATCACACTTAGAATAAGTAAGGCATTTTCAATGGAATATAAGAATTAGTAAACAAAACAGAAAAAGTAAGTTAAAGTTTGTTTACATGTTTGTTGTAAATGATTTAGATTTAAAAACTTTATTGTTGTTATTAAGTGTTCAGTCTTATCTGCTTCGTTACAAAGAGGTCCCAAAGAAAGAACATTAAAATGCAACCAGCGATACACTTTGTTAAAATTAACTTTACATCTTCGACTAGGACAATTGCATTTCAAGTGAAATCCAATTGCAAACCTTGTTTGAGGTCACTTACAAGGCATACTTCACAAGAAAAAAGTCTTCACTTGAAACCAAATAGAATATCAGTAGATTGAATATGTGTGGCTCACTGCAAGATGAGAAACGTAACAAAACCACATTTGCACACACTATCAGTCTATAAAGGAAGCAAATGTTAATGATGCAATATCACAAATTTTGTTGACACAAAGCTTTTGTTGTTGTGTCATATGACCAGGTCTGATGATACTATTCCAATTCCATTCATTCTATTGAAGAGCTGAAGCCGAAGTAGAACACTTCCAGCCAGCTTCACAACCTATTATGATTATTTGGCAACAACAAAAGAACAATGATGTCAAGTTTGAAAAAATACTTCAAAGGTAGCATCATTCAAACTATGAACAACACTTAATGGCCCCTCCTACAGACACTTAACAAGAAAACAATGTGATCTGAACCACATTCAACATGTAATCAAGTTTCAAAGTTATGTTAAAGGTCACATTCAATAAATTATCTCCACAATCAATAACAATGTCACAATCGGATAAGTGAAATCACAGTCAAGTCAAAACTAATAGAGTTTTGGTGTTAAAGAAAAAGGCATATAGAATCCAGAGCAGACTATAGCTTGCCATACCGTGCTCTGAATTTATCTGAAGATCCCTTATACTCATTGTAAATTAGTTTAAACAAGAAAAGATGAAATACTACAATAAGAACACCAATTGAAACCCAGAAGAGATTCGGAAGGCCTCCGAGATGATGTCCATGTTTGTGAAGTGCTATGACATGGTGCTCCAAAGCAGGTGCTGAAAATGAAATGCGATACAAAATAAAATTACATAGATGCTACTTACATGATAAACAATAAATTGAAAATCATTATTATGATCAATTGTTACCTTCCACAATTTCCTTGACATGTATGGCATGCCGGAGGTCTTCCATGTGTTGACGATCATAGGTAATGTACAAGATGGCAGTAACAGGCTCTGTTAATTTCACTGGGAATTGAATTCGATCAGGGCTGCATCAAAAAAGAGACATAATGATAATAGGTACAATCATTGCACCCATCATAATATTGCACCTGAAAGGATTTTTCTTACCCAAGCTGGACTGGCTTATCTAAACAGCCACCATCACAAGCATAGTAATTTTTGTCACTGCGGTCAAGAGCAACATAAAGAACAGCGTGGTTGTCCTCCTGGACAACAACGCTGATGTTGACGTGAGAGGAATTTCCATAGCTGAGTCGTCTGAGCACATATGCAAATAGACTTGTAACTAAACAAATAGGGTCCGACTGCACTCTATACCTTAAAAAATACGCACCTGAAATCTAAGTCCCTGTGCAGATCCTTGGGATGGATGTTCAATTCTAAATGCTGGTTACTGAATCGTAGTCCACCAAAGCTTAAGACCATTGCTTGAACTACACCTAAAGCCCCAGCCTTTACAAGATTGTGGCAACCCTAGTTTTAAAAGAGAGAAACAATTAGTAAGTAACTTAAATGGTTAATACAGAAGGGTGAAGAAAAGTTCACGACACGTGCCTGCTTCTCCAGGGTCAGTAGCCATCTAGAAACTACATTATTTACTTCAGACAGAGTCGACAGATCTTTCCACAAATTATCAGCTTGGCTGCAGGACAAGGGATAGACATTATGATAAAAGGCAATAGGTTTCATGCATGCCAGAAGGTACTCATTAATATATCTTAAAAACAATCTTATTGCTCACAGTGTATGATAACTTGAATAACATCCATCTGTATAAGCCAAGCTTTTCATGACTTGAGCTCGGGTTGAAGCATTGGCACTGTCCACATGGTACTGAGAAGGTGTTTGCGAAAGCACATGATACATGGTAGCATTGATGAGGTGGCCATTCACAGCACCAGCTGCTAAAGAGTTGCTGATACTCAAGCCAGTACTCCACAAGTGGTTCCAGACAGCAGAATGATCATGTTTCAAGGATGAAATTGGTTTTAGCAATGCATCCTTCATGGACTGAAAAACAACACAAAGGAGAATTCAAGAACTGAACAATTTAGAAGCTAAATAATAGTATGAACTGAAATAATTCTTCCAATTTTTAACGCAGGTACCTGAATTGCAAGACTCTCCACTGCATTCTTCGATGAGTAATACTCATCAGACGACATAGGTTTTGAATACGCAATAGTGCTCAGCGCAATTATATTAGCATGGCTGCGAGCTTTCACCTGAGATTTAAAATAAAAATAAGCTCTCTCTCAAAAGCGCTATGGGCAACACAAAAAATTAAATAAATGAATGAACCATACCTCGAGTATGGATGGAACAGTGCTTGACACAGCAGCAATGGAAATAAGCCGATCAGAATCAACATTCACAACTCCCTTTGAAACTTGATACTCAGCTTGTCCTCCTGCCTGTTGAAGCCTATGATAAAAAATCACAATTAATTAATTATTTTTAATTGTATGGTCTAAATAAAGATGAATCGCCCATTCCAAATACCTTATTGTGTCAGATGAAGACAGCCATGAGTTTGGTGGTGATGAATGTAGGACATCGAGGTTCAGGTTAACATCAGAGGGATTTACCACTTTGATTTCTTGCACAAGAAGACCGGGAATGGTGCGATGGGCATAATACTGATACTTGACGTACAATCCCAAGCGCATGCATTGATAGCGATATACTACACCATCCAAGTACCTGAGGTACAAAGTAAAGGAAAAATGTTACATCAGAAACTAACAAAAATTAAATAAATAAAACTTTGAGCGCTGACATATTTGAACTGAGGCAAGTACTCACCGGACCACAGTGGCTTCACTGAATTTGCCAGAGAGAGATACAGTAACAATAGGTCTGATTGGAACCTCCAAAGATAATGTGCGACCATTACGAATCATGATTTTGGCTTCGTAATTTACGGGGAGGCCAAACACTCCATTGCCCACATATGGAAGGTATCCATGCTCATCTTCCATAGGGGGAGAGTGAACAATATTTGCATCATATTCTGAGGCTTCAGAATAAAACGATGTAAGCCTATCCTCCATGCATCTCTCCACAAGATCTGAAATAATTAAAGTGCATACAATATGTGATGGAATATAATATGTGAAGGTGCTTTGAGTATAATTCTTACCGTCAACCACTTCCTGAGGTCTGTAAAACCATCTTGCAACACCTGGTCCAAAATATAGCAAGAGTCCGAAGACGAGGATTGCAAGGAAAAGAGTGCGTTTCCTGAAAACAACGGCATTAAAATAAGAAGAATGAAAACACAACCAAGCAAATCAAAGAACCACTGGAATTAGCTGAGAGGTGCTCACGTTACATGAAGTTCAATATATCTCTTCAGTCTTTTAAATAATTCAAAGCGATCCATTCCTGAAAAAGATAAAAATTGGAATGTCAAAGTTTGGGAGAAGGTTTCATCAGAGATCAAGCAGTCGGAAGATAATCAATGCAGCTACACCAATCTCAAGTAAGAAGAGTTTTATTGATATCACTGCCAGCTCATAGACAACAAGGACTCAGGGAACAGAAAATGCAGACATGGCATAATTTATGAAAGATAAATGTATGAAACCGTTTAGAACTCTGTTAACTTTGTTAATGTCATTTGGCACTTGAAAACAACAAAGGAATACTTACTCGGCATTGAAAAGCTGTTGTAGTACTGTAATGTACTGTTTATTTCCAACTCAGCTGGGTTTTCTCAAAACCCTACAGCACCAGCAGGTGGTGACGAAACAGTGCAGGTTATGCTGCGGGTGTGACAGCACGAAACTCACGAGGTTTCGAGTCACTTGGCGGAGGACCACGCGCAAACGCAAGTCCCTGCTGCGTGCCAAAGATGCCTCGAGACTGTCAGACCGATTTCACGGCGTCCGCACCAACAATAGCCGAGTTTAAGGATTTGTTTACGTTGTGACCGCAGTGGGAGTGATCACAAATCACAAGACAACAAAAACCGGACGGGGGGGGGGGGGGCCTCGCTCGTCCTGTGCATGTATGAAACATTCAGCTAAACGCGCTGAAGTTCGAACGGCCTGAGCGGCCGAGTTTGTTGTCTTGAGAGCCACGTGCGGGCAGCCCTATTTCTACCTCGGTCGAGTCCATTTACGTGCGCAAGCAGATAAGATAGCGCGGATCAGGAATAATCACCCGCAAGCGGCTAATCCCCATACCGCCAGAGTGAAATTTATTCATCAGGTTAATCGGCACTTGGTGTGTCGGGTTGCCGCCTCCCGCAGGCTATATAGCAGGCCCGCAGGAGTCTAGGGTTGCCAACTCCAGTCTGTCCAGCGCGCGCTCCGCCGGACGCGTCGGACCGAACGGAGGCAGCGAGTGCGGGGTCGGCCTCGGCCAAAGGGTAAGCAAATGACTTTGGCAGTGACGTCACGAGCAGTAGTTGACTTACGGTGCAGCGGTGTTCGACTCGCCAGTTTAGTTTCAGTGCGAGTGCGACAAGGACGGCAAGAGGCGGCCGCGAAGACGAAGACGCCGGACAGACCGGCCGCTCCATTCGACTCCATTCGACGTGAGGCTGCCTGAGGCGCGAACGTGAGTCGCACGTGGGCGGCGGGGAAGCACCTGTCGCACAGTAGGCGGTGGAGGCGGCCATAACACTAGACGCGTTTTGAGCTCCAGAGTCGCTAAACGGGACTCGCACCGACCGTGTGACCCCACCAATGGATTCCTCGTTCAGAGAGCAATCCATTGGTGGGGTCACTCGTTCGGTTCGAGTCCCATTTAGCGACTCTGGAGCTCAAAACGCGTCTTTTGACCGCCTCCACCGGTCTTCTGGCCCACTGTGCACCGTGGGGGTTCGCCTGCCACTTTGCTGGGTCTCCTTCCAGATGGACTGGAAGACGGTGGCGGCGCTGCTGGCGGCCTACGGGCTGCTCAAGGAGTTCCGCCCCTCCGAGTCCTTCATCACGCCTTTCTTCACGGGGCCGGACAAGAACTTCACGCCGGAGCGGGGTAAAACCAGTATTTTTATCGGTCGCACCTCTCCAGCTGGCCCTGCTCGGTCCTCTTCCTCGTGTCCGACTGGAAGCGCTACAAGCCCATCGTCGTCCGCGAGCCTCAGCGCCATCGGACCTACAGCATCCCCCGGGGCCATTGGGTGCCCCCCCAAAAGGTGGCATTTGCCAACCTCAGCCTGCACACTAAAAGACTATCTGAGGCTGTGATCTCGTGAAGTTCCTGATGTGGAAACCCCCTTGCGTCTCTGGTACTCTGGTAACTCTTCCGTCCCCTGAGAAAAAAACTGCAAATTGACGGTGCCTTTCGCGTTCCAGTTCATGGAGGTGCTGTACGGGCTGATGTGGGCGGCCGACGTGGCGTACTTCACGTACATGTACGCCAAGGTGGACCGCGCGCACTACGGCACGGTGTCCGCCACGGCCAGGGTGGGCTACCTGCTGGGCCGCTTCGGCAGCGGCCTGCTCAGCCAGCTGGCCGTCAGCCTCAACTTCCTGTCGCTGCAGGGGCTGCAGTTCGTCACACTCGGATGTGAGACGCAGTGGGCCAGAAGCCCAGTGCAAGGGGGCCCATTTGGCATTAAAGCTCCAAAGTCCCAAGGACTCGAACCGAACGTGTTTACCCTACCAATGGTTCCTGTTCGGAGAGCAACCATTGGTGGGTCCCACGAAAGGTTCGAGTCGACTAACGACAGGAGCCAAAACCCCATCCGGGGTTTGCCCCCTCCTCCGGTTCCGGACCCCCGTGCGCCGCAGCCAAACGGGCTCCAACCCGTACCGGCAGAAGTGCCAAAAACGGCGCGCGCTTGTTGCAGCGGCGGTTGTGGCCACCGCGTTCGCCATGGCTCTCCCCGCGGTCTCCACCAGCTTCTACTTCCAGGAAGGCCACGAGGCCGACTCCGGGAACAGACGCTGGGAGTCGAACCCACGGCACGACCCTCGGACGGAGCTGCCCGCCGTCTACGACGCGGTTTGGGGTGCATGAAAGGCCGGACTGCAGGACGCGTTCGGGCGCGCGCAGTGCAAAGGGGGCCGGGTTGGCAACCGGCGGCTGGATGATGGCGCCCGCGACAGAGTGGCTCCGCCAGGAAGACGGTGGGCGGGGGAGACCCCGACGGTTTTGAGCCCGGCGTGCTAAAAGGACGAACAGAAAGTTTTGACCCCGCCAATGGATTCTTCGTTCGGAGAGCAATCCATTGGTGGGGTCACACGTTCGGTTCGAGTCCCATTTAGCGACTCTGGAGCTCTGCACGCGTCTAGAGTTTTGGCCGCCGGCAAATCCACTGTAGCGACGATGGCGGGAACCTCGCCCCAAGTCCAGGCTGCAGCAAGCTGAAGGCGCTGCTCTGATCGCCAGGTTGCCAGCTACTGCCAGATCCTGTGGCAGGACACGATCGACGGCAACAAGAGTGACGAGACACTGTGGAACGGCGCCGTCGAGGCCGCCTACACGCTGCTCGGTACGCAAAGCAGACTGAGAGTCGTTCTCGTCGCTCTGTCTCTCTCGCACCTATGCGGTACGCTCCATGAGTGCGAGAGGGACAGAGCGACGAAAACGACCCTCGGACTAAGTGTGCAGTGCAGAGGCTGAGGATGAGACTTCCTCACCTAAGTTAAGTCAACTGAACCTGAAACGGCTCCTCGACAGGCGCGGGCGCCGTGTGGCTGACCACCAGGAAGACGGACTACTCGGCGTGGGGGGACGCCCTGGTCGGCATGTGGTCGCTGGCGTCCGGGGCCGTGATCGCCCTGGCGGCGGACAGCCGCAGCATGGCCGTGCAGTACGCCGTGTACGTCGCGTTCGGCACCACCTACCACGCCACCATCACCATCGCCAGGTGCGAGCGTCTCTCTCGCGTGCACAGTGGGCCAGAAGACCGGTGGAAGCGGCCGAAACTCTAGACGCGTTTTGAGCTCCAGAGTCGCCAAGCAGGCCTCGAACCGAACGTGTGACCCCACCAATGGATTCCTCGTTCGGAGAGCAATCCATTGGTGGGGTCACACGTTCGGTTAGAGTCCCATTTAGCGACTCTGGAGCTCAAAACGCGTCTAGAGTTTTGGCCCACTCCGCCGGTCTTGGCCGAGGGCCTGGAGCGCCTGCGAGGTAGGCCAGCGACCCGTGCCGCGACACACCGGTGTGAAGACGGCGGCCTACCCTGCCCCTCACAGGGGCGACATGCCACCGTCTCCACACCGGTGTGTTGCAGGACGGGTCGCTGGCCTACCTCGCAGGCGCACTGCAAGTCAACGCAGCAGTTCGGATCACCGCTTGCAGCAAACATTCCCACGATGCACCAGTGTCTGCAGGGTTGTCAATCTCAGTCACGACGCAATATCTGAGCCTTTTTCTCTCGAGAAGTTGCCCAGTGGGCAGGCTGAGGTTGGCAACCATTTCGGCGCCGGTGCATCGAGGGAAATTTTTTTTCGCATACTTTTGTGGCCAAGTGTCAAAGTTCTCGTGCGGGATGAGCAACCAGGGGCGTGGTCTGTGCGCAGCTCGGAGGTGGCCAAGCGGGTGCGCGAGGACGCGCACGCCCTCATCTTCGGCGTCAACACGCTGGGCGCGTACCTGCTGCAGACGGCGCTGACGGTGGCCGTGGCGGGGCAGGGCGGCCTGGAGCTCCCCATCCGCGACCAGTTCGTCATCTACGGCGGCTACTTCCTGGTCATCGGGGCCGCCTTCCTGGCCGTGGCGCTCGCCGGCGTGGTGGCCAGGTGTCGCGGCAGCCGGAGATTAAACGTGTCCTCAGCCTAGCCTTTCAACAGTCAATATCCCCAGAGCTGCCACACAAGCAGGCAAAACTTCCCTCGAGGCACCGCACTGCGCAGTGGGACCGGTGGAGGCGAGCTGGCAAAATCCCGAGCGCGTTTTGAGCTCCAGAGTCGCTAAATGGGGACTCGAACCGAACGTGTGACCCAACCAATGGATTCCTCATCCGGAGAGCAATCCGTTAGTGGGGTCGCTCGTTCGGTTCGAGTCCCATTTAGCGACTCTGGAGCTCAAAACGCGTGCGGGATTTTGGCCACCTCCACCACAGTCTGCCTACTAGACTAGGGAAGTACCCACAGTGCACACGACACCCGAACTCATTCCCTTGCTCAATATGCAATGAATGCAATTGAACACGCACACACACACACACATGCAAGTACTTATACATGCAGGCGACAACTCGGTCGTCTGCATTTCAAATTTCCCGCACTGCGTTGTCGAAAAGAAAACAAATGGAATCCTGCACGCTGATTGGGCGGCTGGCGGTCCGCTCTCTGCACTGTACATCCAGCTTCCGCTTCCGGTCCGGCAGACGATCATTTCAAAACCGAAAATGGCGGGCAACGACGGACCCACCCTAAATTGCGAAACCATTGAAGAATATCAGAAGGATCCGCGCATCGCCTGTAAATATGGTGCCAAATGTTACCAGAAGAACTCGGTTCACATAAACAAATACAAACACCCGCCACATGTAAGTTGCCTGTGCAGTGTTCATGTCCTAACCTCCAACTTTATCTGTCATTAGTATATGATTTGTAACAAAAAAATTAGATTATGGCTTAATGGCTTGTTCCTGTGACGTTAGATTATCCCTTTATTCTTTTACCATGTTCCCTTGTTGTTTCGACAGGTCAAAGACACCAAAGCCACCAAGAGGAGAGGGGCCAAACGTCCCAACAAAGTCGCTCTGCCTCCACAGAGTGACAGCGACGGTCCAGACGACGGCCACGTCTCAGACGCTGCGTCGGGAACCGGGTCCCCGAAGAGGAAGGCTCCCAAGCTGAAAGCAGCCAGTGACAACGAGGAGGACCAGAGCGGTGCAGGGCCATCGCAGGATGCCGCCTCAACAGTCACCGTCGATGTTCATTCATTTGACAGCGAGCCTGAACTGCCACCGTCACCAAGTGACATCAAGCAGAGTATTAAGCAAAAGTTTCTGGTTGAAATGCCTGAAGACTTTTATCTGTTCTGGGACTTTTGTGAATCTGTCAATGGATCCAATCCTGCACGTAAGTACCATGTCTGTTCTCGTGTGATTTACTCCCTCTTTTTTACATTTGTCTGATACAGGTATTTCCACTTTGTGTTCCAGTTGCCTTCAAGGACCTAGGCCTCAGATTAGTTGGGCCATTTGATGTTCTCTCCAGCCATTTTAAACTAGACAGTAGTCAACGTAAACAATCATTATTCTTATTGCATTGGCGATATTACTATGATCCACCAGGATTCCAGGTAGTACTCATCAATTAAACTACAGAAAGAACTTTTATATTTGTTTTCCAAAATTTTATGCCTATTTTCCTTTTTTTTAGACTGTTCTTAAAGGAGATGACACCAAACAGTTCCATATTGGATACTTCAGGGATGATCCAAAATCTATGCCTGCTTTCCTTGCCAGCAATTGTGCTGCAAAGGATGGAGTGTTCACTCAGGTTGCTGAAAATATATTTGGAGCAGTGAAGTGAGTGTGCTTAGAAATAGTGGTTCACCCACCCTAATTTGTATTTGTGCATAATTTTAAAAATTTCCATTTTAGTGCCTATTTGAATGACTTGAAAAAAGCGTCCAATCCATTTCTCCAGTCCAAAATTGCCAGACTTCAAAAGTCTTTACAGGATTATGCGAAAGGGAGTGACATTACCTTGGATACCAAAACTCAGGCTATGAGGTTGAGGGATCGTAAATCAGTGTCAAAAACTTTTAATGGATTGGGCCTTGTGGTTCCCGTTGAGAAGAGGACTGAAATTGGTTACCGGGAATTAATAGAAACAGATGGTATATCTATACATTTCCAAGTAAAGCTTCTTCTCAGTTCTCTTACAAAATATATCATTCAAAAATTTGACACAATTATTTTTTATTGTTGCAGTAAATCTGAAACGAATCTTGAAGAGAATTGCTGAGGCTGAGAGGCAGGATGTGAAAGATAAAGGCCTCGACCAATTGCAGCAAGTGATTACTGCTGCAAACATAGCGAATGATGAATGTGATTTTGGTACCAGTGTAGAACTTGGGCTGGATCTCTTTGCATTTGGCGGACCGGAGTTTGATCAGTCTGCCCTCCAACTTCTTACTACTGGTTATACGCTTCTTGGTCGGCCTGAGTTTGCCAAAATTGCCAGGGTAAGAGTTTATTTGATACATGTGTACTGTCATCTTCCTTAGCAAAAAGGAGGTGAAGATAATTAATAAGGGTGTAATTTTCAGGTTCATATCAACAATAGACAGAAAGGTGTCAAGTTGGACATGTTTTCATCATAACTCTTGGTGCTGTTAAATTTTTTAAATGAAGATCATAATTATCATCTTTTTAATTTACCTGTAATTTATTTTATTTTTCATCTTTTCATTTCTCAAAATAAAGATTTGGTGTGAGAGCCTTTCAGAATTTAGAGTGAGAAGTGCTTGTTTATATTTCCATAATTTGTGGTTAACAATTAACTATTATAAGACTGGTAGTTCAAGGAAACTTCTTGCAAAGATTAGGAAAGACAGCTTTATTTATATCACAGAAAGAACTAAATTGATAACATCCAGAATATGTACATAGATAATAAACCGTTCACTTACAAAGGGCACATGGTTACAGCAATGAATAAAAAAGTCTCTAAGATCAGTAAAAAGAGGATTAGTATTAAAACAAAAATGAATGACTCACTTAACATCTTTCATGTGATAAAGATCTCATAGCACATCAAAATATAATGTCTTTAATTATAATAAAAAATTATTACAACTTCTCTGTGAGCTCTGGCACAGCCTTGAACAGATCTTGGACAAGGCCGTAGTCAGATACCTGGAAGATGGGAGCTTCAGGGTCCTTGTTGATGGCAACAATTGTTTTGGAATCCTTCATGCCAGCAAGATGCTGGATTGCTCCTGAGATGCCAACAGCAATGTACAGTTCCTGAAAAGAATTGAACAAGAGGTCAAAAGATATCTTTTTGTTTTCAAATAGATATTATGATAACTACTTACAGGTGCAACAATTTTGCCAGTTTGGCCCACTTGAAGATCGTTGGACACAAATCCAGCATCAACTGCAGCACGAGAAGCTCCAACAGCGGCATTCAACTTGTCAGCAAGCGCATAAAGAATCTTGAAGTTTTCTCCTGACTTCATGCCACGTCCTACGAACAGAAACATTTATGTTATTTCCTATGGAAAATAGACACAGTGATCTATGAATTGAACACAGAACCCACAATAAGCCTCACCTCCACTGACAACTACTTTAGCGCCAGCCAATGCAGGGCGGTCACTCTTTGCAAGCTCTTGGCCAACGAATTCACTTGAAGCTGAATTGAATGAACCAGAGGGGGCCTGATCGATCTTGCCACTTCCACCTTCTTCAGTGACAGGAGCAAAACTGGTTGGCCGAATTGTCACCACCTTGACAGCATCCTTTGACTTTAGGGTCATGATAGCATTGCCTGCAAAATCAAGGAAATAAAAGCGATTGGCCTTGAAATTCAACACAGAGAAATCATTCAGACCACTAACCTGCATAAATGGTTCTCACAAAAGTGTCAGCATCTTTGATCCCAGTCACATCAGAAACAGGAGAAACATCAAGCTTGGCAGCAACACGAGGCAAAAGCGCCTTGCCCTGAGCTGAGGCACCCGCAAGAATGTGGCTGAATTTGAGGTCGTTCTGTACTTTCACAACAAGCGATGTCATGCTTTCGGGAAGGAATCCCTTGAAGGCATCGCCTTCAGCGACAAGAACCCGAGTGACACCTTTCAGCTTGCTTACTTTCTCAGCCACCTGTTGACACCAATTAAAATATTATCAGGTAAGTGACAAAAAAAAAATCTTGAGAAATCTTGTTCCAATACTTACAGATCCACACTTGGTTCCAGCCACAAGCACCGAGACTTCTCCACCGAGCTGAGAGGCAGCGGCTAAGGCATTCTGCGTAACCGGAGCAAGAGCCTCGTTGTTGTGCTCTGCAACCACCAGAGTGCTGGCATTGTTGCGTCCAGGCCCAGTGATCTGCAACGTACCAAACTGCAGTCAAGCACACCAGCACATCACAAACAATGATTGACGTCAAAGAATTAGTGAACACTGTTGCTTGAGGACAACAGTTGGGATCAACTAAATCAAACGGGACAAGAATCTCAGAGCCTACAAACACCGGGTTTTAATCTTTTTTCACATTGCAACACTGGACTTCGGCCACTGGTACAGTTGTTTATTAGGACTAGTCTAGACCATTCATTACATCACAGAATAACACATCATCTCCTCACCTGGGCGAGCTGGGACAGCCTCCTGGTGCACTTGAACATTTTGAGCGAGTTTAGCGAAGATTCGGCAACTGTCGAAGTGTCCTTGAGAAACTGTTGCTTGATAAAGCCGACGGTTCCTCTGGCAAACAACAGCAACAGACTGAGCGGCGAAAACTGTCGGGTCGGAGTGAACCTCGAACCCCAACCTCAACGTCACGACGTCAATTGGCGACGTTTTCATATCGCAGACGGGTTGTTTCCGGTATGAGAGTTTCTTCGGCCTGGCCCCTGTGAGGTAGGCAAGCCAGGGACAGGCGTGTGCGAGGAGTAGCCTACCCGCACGGCGTTCGCACGCACAGTGCAAAATGTTGCTGAAACTGCACAGTGCAGTAACTGTGCGGGAAAATTCGAGAAATGAATACGGCACGCTGTCGCCAGGAGTTCTTACTCTTCAAATGGATGGCATTGAAATGAAAGACCGACTTGTGCAAGTTTTAATAATTTTTATTCGATTTTTCTTTTTTTAAGTTTTTAGATAAAGTGCCTCGTCGGGTGTGTTTTTGATGGCTACGTCGGCGATCGTCTGCTGGAGCGCGGCCAAAGCCAAGACCGGGGCTTCCCCGCCGGAGACACACTGGCACACTGGCATCAGTGCTCGTAGACGCGCACGTAGTCCACCTGCAGCGCGGCCTTCTCGCCGTGCCAGGTCGGGTACCACAGGTCCTTCTTCTCCCAGAACTGGCGCATGCCCCGGCCGGAGCTCAGCGTGTAGGGCCGCGGGTACGGCGAGTTCTGGAGGTCGTCGCTGAAGAAGGTGCCGCCGACGGCCACGTTCAGGATGATGTAGAACTGCAACGAGTGGAAGGACGGGCGTGAGCTGGGGGCTGCGGCCGGCGGGGAAGTACCAGCACACAGTGGGCCAGAGGACCGGTGGAGGCGGCCAGAACTCTAGACGCGTTTTGAGCGGTTTTGAGCGGTTTTGAGCTCCAGAGTCGCTAAATGGGACTCGAACCGAACGTGTGACCCCACCAATGGATTCCTCGTTCGGAGAGCAATCCATTGGTGGGGTCACACGTTCGGTTCGAGTCCCATTTAGCGGCTCTGGAGCTCAAAACGCGTCTAGAATATCGGACGCCTCCACCGGGGCGCTGGGGCGTTTGGGAGGCTCACCTCCTGGTCGAAGGGCGCCATGTCGTTGCCGTCCTTCCAGATGTTGTCGCCCTCGAACTCGCCCAGCTTCCAGAAGCCTCCCTTGGGGCGGGGCACCTCGCCGTACTGCTTGCCGTCCAGCAGGAAGCGGAAGCCCTTCTCGCTCCACTCCAGCGAGTACACGTGGAAGTCGTTGGCCAGCGTCTCGTTGTCCCCCATGAAGCTGTAGGCAAGGCGTGGGTTCAAACACTGGTGCACCCTCCTTTTTTTCTAATCAGGGTTGCAATGACGGCCAAGGCAAAACTTCCCCCGACGCACCAGTATCGAAAGGGTTGCCAAGCTCAACCTGCCTACTAGGCAACTTCTTAACATCGAAGCTAAGATGTCGCCTTGTAGGCAGGCTGAGGTCGGCAACCCACAGTGGGCCAGAAGACCGGTGGAGGCGGCCAAAACTCGAGACGCGTTTTGAGCTATAGTCGCTGAACAGGACTCGAATCGAACGTGTGACCCCACCAATGGATTCCTCGTTCGGAGAGCAATCCAGGTGGGGTCACACGTTCGGTTAGTGCCCCGTTTAGCGACTCTGGAGCTCAAAACGCGTCTAGAATTTTTGCCGCCCTCCGGTTTTCTGGCCCACTGTGCAACCCTTTCGACACCTGGTCGGTGGCAGCACTGGGCGCGTACTTGTCGACGTGCGCCTTGTCGTAGCGGTTCCTGTTCCAGGCGGGCCCGAAGTGCAGCGTGGAGCTGGTGGTCTGGAAGCCCCGGTAGCGGCCCTTGCTGTCCTTGAGGTTGGCGTTGCCCCTGCTTTCCATGAGGTCGATCTCGCCACTGCGCGGCCAGCCGCCGTACTTGTCCTTCTGCGGCATCAGCCACATGGCTGCCAACAACACGGTCAGTAAGCCTCCTCTGAAACCGCCTCAAAATCACCAACAGTAAACAACATCTGACTACACCGGCACCGGTGTTTTTCCCATCTTATGATTTTTTCTTGCGTTGTTTTTAACATGGTTTCAATCACTGCCTGAGCATTTTTTTTTTCATTTTTTCCCTCAGTCGTTTTGCTGACTTACCCGGCCAAATCCAGTCGCCGCGCGGCAGGCGGGCGCGAATGTCGCATCGTCCGTACTTGAAGCTGAACTTGCCCGAGGTGGACAGGCGCGCCGACTGGATCGGAAGCACTATTTCTTCTCCAGATTGGCTAAGACGCAAACCAAAACAACTAATATTGTTTACGATTCCCAAAGTTAGACTCTCAGTGCGGGACCGATGACCACTCACGAGACACAGGGCTCCATGTTGCAGCCGGGGTACGTCAGGTTGCCGTGCTGCACCAGGTCCTCGCCGAACTCGTCCGCGGTCAGAGTGGGCCGGATGTACAGGATGCCATCTCGGACGTAGCTGCGGAACAAGTCGTGGGTTCAAACACGCACCGGCAAAAAAAAGTCCGCAAAATTCCCGATTTTGGCCAGATTTTCTGCCATCTATCCCTTTTAGCCACTGCCACGGGCCAAAATGTCCCGTATCGACCAGAGTCGAAAGGGTTGCCAACCTCCGCCTGCCCACTAGGCAACTGCTCGACGGCGAGGCCGAGATGTTGCCTAGTAAGCAGGCTGAGGTTGGCAACCCTTTCGGCACTGGTGCGTGGCGTTGGCAGTGTGCTTGACGGCGGAGCCATGCGGTGCCCACCTGTTCTTGCGGTCGTTACGGTAGAACTGGAACTCCTGGTTGCCGCCGCGCCACGCGCTGATCTGGTGGACCCACTTGCCCTCGTCCAGGGTGTCGAACTCGTCGGCGAAGACGAGCTTCTCGGCCTTCTTGTCGGCGAGGGCCGGCGCGGCGAGGGCCAGCGCGGCCAGCAAGACGGTGGTGATGGCCATGCTCGGGGTGTTCCGGGCGCTCTGCCGGTCGCCGGCGGGGGCAGCCTTTTATATGGACGCGGGGCGCGGCGCGGCAGGGCTGGGCAGGGCTGGGCAGGGCGCGGCTCAACTCGTGGCGTTCCCTCCGCGCGCCAAAAGCGTCCAGCGCGAACTGAAGTCACGCCGCGGACCGGTCTGGCGTCGTCTGGCGCGCCAGGAGTTTGATTTTTCATACCGGCGGACAGGTCGGCAGGTCGTCTCATCCCATTCCCCATTCCAGTTTCCAGTGCAGAGAGGCGCTTTGAGTTTAGGCGAGCCAAACGCAATTTGAGCGAATGACGTGCGTGGCCTGGCCTCGGCCTGGCCGATCCCTGCCCCGGGGTTTCCCCGTCCTTCCCGTCGCTCTGTCTCTCTCGCACCGACACGGGACGCCCCATGAGTGCGAGAGAGACAGAGCGACGGGACGCGGTTCGGAGTCGGTCTGCTGCCTATCGCTGGCCCGCTCAATCCGCTCTCGGCCCTACGTCATCTCCTGTGCCGAGGCATTAAAACAGCGAGAGAGAGAGAGAGAGAGAGAGAGAGAGAGAGAGAGAGGAGAGAGAGAGAGAGAGAGAGAGAGAGAGAGAGAGAGAGAGAGAGAGAGAGACTATAACGGCACACGGTTTGAAACGAACAGTGTTGTGTAGGATTTGTGTGGACCACACCACGGGCACGGGATGCGATAGGAAAACACACATCGAGGTAACTGGTTTTTATTGCTTCTCTTCTGGGCAACAAATGATCCTAATAGGTAAGAAGACAACAATGAGAGCAACGTAGCCAAGTCGCTAGTTTACCGTTGTAATTGTATTATGACACACACATGCACACATAAATTATAATACAAAATCAACAAAAAATCAGGTAAAAAAATATCTAATGGATACGAAAAAGTACAAAAACCTAACTCTATCGTACCCGAGGTCCAAATGCAATTGGTTTCTCACCGAGCCGCGAAGACGTCGAAAACGCAGGCGCGTTCGACACTTGACCTGAGGTGTATCCGATCAGATAACTCTCGCCACTCGAGACGAGGACGAAACGCGGACGTCCTGTCGGCCTGTCGGGTCCTTGTTTCAGTCCCTTTCCCAGCAGAGCGGCCCGAGCCCGAAGGCAGGGCTGGCTGACTCAGGTTCGAGTCACCGTGGCCGACTGGTCCCTCTTCCTCGCACTCACGGGCCGCCCTGGGTCCTGGCGGCGTCCCGGATGGGTGCGAGAGAGACAGACAGCACCGCGTTGCCCCCGACGGCCCGACGGTGTGCACAGGTGGAGGCGGTGCACTTGGTGCACTCCGACGGCGTCGTCTATTTCCGGCGGCGAGGCCAAGGACGAGCAAGGTCACGTCAAGGTCACGTCAAGGACGAGGTCAAGGACACGCTACGCGGCTACGCCACCGGCAGGGCAGGGGGCGCCACGGGGGTGGGTGGGATCTCCTTGATCTTGAGGTTGTTGTTGGACACGGCGCTGGCGGCGCGGCTGGCGTTCAGGTAGTCCTTCCGGAACGTCTGGTTCATCAGGTTGCCGACGTACGTCCGCACCCACACGGGCGGGATCACGGTGAAGAAGTACTGCGGCACAGAGAGGGCATTGTAAGGCACAGAACTCGAAAGATGCATCGAAACGGAAAATCAAAAATAATAAAAAAAGCAAAAAAAAATGTATGCTAACAGAATGGCTGGTGGACCAAAGTGGTTCCAAAGTTACATCGATTTCTATCAAGATTACAAATATGTTGAATGCAACAGTGCCATTTCAAGGACACTTGGCCGTCAAAAGGTACGGGGCTTTTATCGCCCTTCCCAAAAGCTTCTTTTACGCGAAAACAACCCGTCTGCCAAGAAACGACATAAACAACTTGTTTTATTTTCACATAGTTTCCTTTCTTGGAACGAAAAATTAAAAGTGCGCTCGTAAAACATAACATGCGCAAGGGCGGTGACTGCGACCATGACAAGTCAAAGGAGCCAAGTCCCGCCTAGGAACAAGCGGCCACGCGCGGCACGATCAGAACCATCAACATCGTCGTCATCATCATCACCCTCATCATTATCACCATCATCATCATCACCATCATCATCATCATCACCAACATCATCATCACCATCATCATCATCATCGTCACCATCATCATCACCAGCACCTCCACTAGCTCACCTGGATGCCGTGCGCCCAGTAGCCGGTGGTGGACTCCACCTGGCCCAGGGTGTTGACGGCGTTGCGCGCGTACCGCTCGGCGTCGGGCACGAAGAGGCTCGTCTCCTGCAGGCGGTGGCTGAAGGCGTTCATCTTGGTGTTGACGAACAGCGGCAGCAGGTGCTGCACTGTGATGCCGTACTGCGCGTACTCGACGCGCAGCGCCTCCGAGAAGCTCTTCACGAACACCTGCAAGCAGTACGCGTCTAGAGTTTTGTCCGCCTCCACCGGTCTTCTGGCCCACTGTGCGTCGTCCCCTCTGACCTGAAAGGCGGGCAACAGTCGCGCCTTGCCCCTGTGGGCAGGCAACTTTTTCGACATCGCAGCCCACTCTGGATCGCCCCCTTGCTCGCCTTCGGCCCGGCCACCAGTGCACCAGAGGTGCACGATGGTCTGCCTACCCACACGGCGGCGCAGCCCAGCAGAGTCGTGTCGTCGCTCTGTCTCTGTCGCACTCTACCGGACGGTTCCTCGTTTGGAGAGCAAGCCATTGGTGGAGTCGAACGTTCGGTTCGAGTCCTGCTTAGCGACTCTGGAGCTCAAAACGCGTCTAGAATTTCTGCCGCCTCCACCGGTCCTCTGGCCCACTGTGCGCTGGGCCCAGGCTCCCTACCTTGGAGGCCGCGTAGACGGTCATGAGCGGCAGCGGCTGGAGCTCCGACGCGGAGGACACGTTGACGATGACGCCCTTCCGCCTCTCCTTCATCTGCTCCAGCACCATCCTCGTCATCATGGTGGTGGCGCCGATGTTGATGTTGACGATGTCCCACAGCTCCTGCTCCGGCACCTCGCCCAGGTACATCGGGTACGTGTACTGGCGCCCCACGTTGTTCACTGCAACCACGGTTTGCGTTTTTCACTGCCTTCTCGAATGGCAGCACTGACTGTTTCCGAATTGTGCAAAAATGCTGCAGCGGCGGCGGCCTTACCGAGGATGCCGACGGGGATCTCCTTGAGCTTGGCCTCGATGTCCTCGAACACGGACTGCCCCTTGCTGAAGTCGGCCGCGATCACCATGGTCTTGACGCCGAACCGGGACTCTGCGGACACCGAGGCTCGTCAGACCGTTTTTTGGCCAAAATTCAATTATTTTTTTTTTCAAAAAAAGACTTTTTGAGAGTGTTTACCGATTTCAGCCGCCGTGTTCCGCAGCTTGTCCAGGCTGCGGCTGATGAGGCACACGTTGACGCCCCTCCTGGCCAGCTCCAGGGCGTAGGCACGCCCGATGCCGTCCGTGGAGCCCGTCACCACTGTAAGGCAAACACAACCATGACTGGCGAACCTTAGGCGTCTTTGGCAAACCCTCGGTGGCAAGAGCTCTTGCCTCCGCGCGCCTTGCGTCACCACACTGAGAGTCCTTTTCGTCGCTCTGTCTCTCTCGCGCTCAGAGTGACGGAAACGACTCTGCTGCCCAAACACCGCGTCCATTAGGAGGCACTGCTTGCTCTGCTCCGCAAACAGGCGAAAGGCGCCAGGCTGACGTGACGCGCAAAATATTTCCAGTGCGGAAAGGGGTCAGGCTTTCTTAGCAAAAGGCAAGTCAGCGCACAGTGGATTGGCCAGAAGACCGGTGGAGGCGGCCAAAACTCTAGACGCGTTTTGAGCTCCAGAGTCGCTAAACGAGACGCGAACCGAACGTGTGACCCCACCAATGGATTGCTCTCCGAACGAGGAATCCATTGATGGTGTCACACGCTTTATTCGAGTCCTGCTTCGCGACTCTGCAGCTCAAAACGCGTCAGGGGTTTTGGCCGCCTCCACCGGTCTTCTGGCCCACTGCAACTGTGTGGTGAGTGCAGCGGGGCGCGGGTGCAGTGACTCCAGCGAGGCCAGTGAGCCGAGCCGGCTCGCTTCAAATGCCACCGCGAAGCACGCCTGCATGATCTATCCATCTATCCGTCACCAGCGCCGAGCCTAGTCATGGCGCAACACTTGGCGCCTACACGAGAAAAGAGTCCCTCAAACTGCCCAAATTTAGATGATACATTGAGTACACCTCATTGTGGTATTGATCAAGACTCTTTCATTCTCAAACGCGACGACGTACCTTCTCCCCGTGGTGAGCCCCCCTCCCCCCTCCCCCTCCCCCTTCCAGCCTCTCGCTGTGATGCAACGCAGGGACGTAACCGTGAAACGGAGCCAGGCAGGCAGGCAGGCAGGCAGGCAGGCAGGCAGGCAGGCAGCCAGGCGGGCTGGGGCAGTGACCCACTGACTCACTGCGCCTCGCGCTCCGGGACGACCCAAGCGACGAAAGGGCACGCAGCCGGCCGGAGTCGAACCCGGGACCGCGCCGTGCCGTCCGCCTGACAGCCCGACACCTTGGCGCGTACGTGAAACCTTCAAAATGCGTCACTCTGGCGGTGGCAGGAATGTCCGAATCAGTCGAATCCTGCACCGTACTTTTCGGAGGACTTTACTCAGGAGGACATAGTGGGCGAACTCAAGTCAAAATCAGGCCTCAAAGCGTCACTAGGACTGAGTCGATCCTATCGAAGAAATGTCGACATTCGACTGTTACGGTTAGCGCCGCGGGAATTTAACAGTGCGCTTTCCCCGACGGGTCGTCGATACCGCCGCTCATGTTCACAACGGATTCCTTCGATCTCGGGTTTCAAGGCCGTTCAAGGCCGTTCAAGGCCGTTCAAGGTCGTTCAAGGCCGTTCGAGGCCGTTCGAGGTTCGAGCCCGTCGCCGCCTCATGGCGGAAGAGACCTCGCGTCGGACGGGCGGCAGCGGCCTTGCTCCGCTCACGCGCCCGGCCGGTCCGCCGAAACACGAAACAGCCCCCGAAACGGCCGACACGGCCGAAACCGCCGATCGGGTTCTGCGAGGCAAGTCACTTGCCAATCTCTACGGTCACCTTGAACCAGTGTGCCGTCCGGTCCGGCCCACTCGAAACGGGTCGCCCACCTGCGTCAGTGTGCGTGTGTTTGTTTTTGGGAGTTTGTCTTTGTGCGTTTGTGTCTGTCTGTTTGTCTGTCTGTCGATGAGCGTGCGTGTGTGTTTGCGCTGTGTGTGTGCGCACGGTGCCTGCACTGCCAGTAATAGCATGCAACCCCATCATTACCCTCTCCAGCCTGGCGGGCTGGCAGGCTGGCCTTCCCTATTCCTCCAGAGAGATTTCAGCATTGCGTCGTAGGGGTGCCGCCACACTGCCACACGCCACGCTTGGCGAACAACGCGCCCCACGGCGCCTATTCGGGTAGTCTGCGATTGAATCGGACTGACGCAGCAGTGGCCCAGGCGGGCTGTTCTGGACCGGGAGCGCTCAGGCCTATACTTAACACCACCTCCGCCCCACCCCCCACCCCCCAAAAAAACAACTTCAGGAGCGAATACTAGCTCTGAAACCGAGTTTAAAACAGCGAGTTCCATGCAAAAGATAACTCCGTTTTTACATTAAATTTCCCGAGGGGGAAAACACTCGCGTAATAGTCGGGTCACTCTGTCCGTAATAGCACGCGTAATAGTGTGCGTAATAGCCGAAATTCTCCAAATTTGATCTATTTTCAGGGGTTTTGGTCTGTTTTCAGCTAAATCCCTATATTTTGAGGCGTAATAGAGCGTTATAGACGTAATAGTCGGGTCGCAGGTTTAAAGAGTGATTTCCCCCTCGAAATTTCCTCATTTTTTTTTCCTTATAGATGACGCTAATGCTGACTGCGCCAGCCTGCCGCAGCCAATGAGGAGCCGGCCTTTTGGGGCGAAACTGAACTTCCTCGCGGCGTGTCGCAACACTCGCAACGCGCCACATCCTTGGTGCATACACTGCCGTCATTAGGGTCGGGTGCATTAACGGAGTGCATGCAACAGGGGTGGGGGAACGCAGCGCGACGCAGCGACCGTGGAGTAGTTAAAAACGTTGCAGCGAGACAACATTTTTTTTTAGATTTCCTCCTTCCCTCTCTTTTGATCCAGTCAGTATATGCAGGCCACGTGCTTTCAACATCCCTCACCCATTTCCCTCTTTCCCTGCATGTCGAGCAGTGTTGCCACATGAGTAGGAAAATATTCCCCCGATGCACCAGTGACGAAAGGGTTGCCAACCCCCGGCCCGCCGACTGGGCAACGTCTCAATAGCAACGAAGCCAAGATGTCGTGCAGTAAGCAGGCTAAGGTTGGCAACCCTATCGACACTAGCGGATCCAGGGGATTTTTGTGGTGACACGAGGAGCGGTAAAGAAACAAGTGGCGATCGAGAAGTACGCTGTGCCAACGAACAACAGTGGGCCAGAAGACCGGTGGAGGTGGTCAAAATCCCGGACGGGTTTTGAGCTCCAGAGTCGCTAAATGGGACTCGTACAGAGCGTGTGACCCCCACCAATGGATTCCTCGTTCGGAGAGCAATCCATTGGTGGGGTCACACGTTCGTTTCGAGTCCTGTTTGGCGACTCTGGAGCTCTGCACGCGTCTAGAGTTTTGGCCGCCTCCACCGGTCTTCTGGCAAATGCACTGTGCGATCGGCGGGTGACTCACCTGCCCAGGCGCCGAAGCGCTGCACGAGGTCGACGGGGCGGCTGTTGAAGTAGGGCAGGACGTGCGCGCGCATCCCCTGCGCCGCCAGCAGCACCGACCCGGCCAGCATGAGCAGCAGCAGGAAGGTGCCCAGCAGGGCCAGCACCCCCAGCACGGCGGCCGACACCTCCAGCATGGCGGCCTGCGGGCAGGACGCGTTAAGTACAGCAGCAGCAGCAACAACAACAACAACAACATGGCCACTCCGCAGTGCCGTGATCGAAATAATGTGATTGGCGTGGAGACAGTTGGAGGCCGGGGGGCGTATACGCGGCGCCCCTCTCCCCCCTGGTCTTCCTAGGCCCCTCCGTCGAGGCCTCCGAGTTGAACGGCCTGCTTGCGCTGCTTGCGCAACGCCACTGCAGCGAAGCAGCGCAGCCCAGCGCTGCACCAGGAGCGACTCCCACAGCGCAGCGAGGTACCATCCCACAGTGGGCCAGAAGCGAGGTACCATCCCACAGTGGGCCAGAAGCGAGGTACCATCCCACAGTGGGCCAGAAGCGAGGTACCATCCCACAGTGGGCCAGAAGCGAGGTACCATCCCACAGTGGGCCAGAAGCGAGGTACCATCCCAGTGGGCCAGAAGACCGGCGCCGGCGGCCACAACTCTAGACGCGTTTTGAGCGAGCTGCAGAGTCGCTAACAGGACTCAAACCGAACGTGTGACCCCACCAATGGATTCATCGTTAGGAGAGCAGTCCATTGGTGCGGTCTTGTGCACGCCAGCCGCAGTTGTCGCCCGGCGGGCAGAGACCGATTACCCCACAACCTTCTGCCAAACACGAGGGGACGGCCGGCGACCGCAAAAGTCCTACGCAATGCGGTAGCGCGGATTCCAAGGTCGCTGGTTCAAATCCCGGCGACAGGCGAGGCGTGAGGAAACGCAGTCGGCAGTCACACTTGCCGAGAGTGGTGTGTGTGACACTCTTGCGTCGCCGTGGAAACGATCAGGCCTGATTCAGGCCGGGGAGAGAGAGGGTGGCCCGTAAAACCAGTTGAGCTTGGTGGTTGAGATCTACTGCCAAAGCTGCAAGCCAGGCTGCTTTTCCAGGGCGGTGCCGAGGTGCACAGTGGGCCAGAAGACCGGCGCCGGCGGCCAAAACTCGAAAAAAAGTCGTTAAATGGGGGTCGAATCGAACGTGTGACCCCACCAATGGATTCCTCGCTCGGAGAGCAGTCCATTGGTGGGGTCACACGTTCGGTTCGAGTCCCATGTAGCGACGCTGGAGCTCAAAACGCGTCCGGTATTTCGACCGCCTCCACCGGTCTTCTGACCCACTGTGCGGTGCCCCAAAGCCGCCCACCACATCGATGCCTGGCGGGTTTGAGGACGTTGGACTCTGAGAGCTGGAAATGAACAGCCAGGCACTGCGGAGGACCTTCCGTCCGTCCGCTGCCCCCCCCCCCCCCCCAGCAGCCTCACGGTGTTGCAACAACTGGTCCCCACGAGTGTCTGCAACAAAGCTAGAGCCGCGGCCTGGAGCCGGGAGCCCAGCACACTGAGAGGCGTCGTCGTCGCTCTGTCTCTCTCGCACTCGCTGGGCGCCCCGTGAAGGTGCGAGGGAGACAGAGCGCCGGGCCCGGTATGGTGGGCGACGCGCTCGGCGACGCGCGTTTTGGCGCTCGACCCGGCCTTGGCGAAACACCGCAAGACGAACGTCAACGAACGTCGAAGAGGCCAAAATAAAGGAACGCAGAAAGAGACGAGCCCCAGCGATGGAACGGTCTGCAGACGGACTCCAAGAGTCGCTCTCGTCGCTCTGTCTCTCTCGCACTCATAGGGCTTGCCTTAAAGGTGCGAGAGAGACACTCTCGGAATCAGTCTGCCGGCGTGCAGCAGATATAGGCCCGCCGTAGTAAATGCCAAGGACTGCCAACCCACCATACTGTTAAAATAAAAAGGGGCGGCAATGTTGGTCAATTATATATTTCCCGTCCGTACCTAACTACGCACCCTATGCACCCTCACGCAGGTTTTGCCCAAAATATATGCACGTTGGTCGATTGTACTGCGAGTTGGGTACATTCAGGTCGCACAGGGGAGAGACAGCCATGAAACTTAACATATATTGACATTTTGGGGTACCTGATTTTTTAAAAAAAAGTTATGCACAGGATGACTTACATCTAAAATTCAACTTACAATTTTCTTTATTCAGTGCATAATATTTTTGTCTCTAACCGTTTAGGAAATAAAATTTCATAAATATCAAAATGTTAAGTTGGCTGGTCGTAAACTGCTCGACCGACCCCTGGGGTACGCGTCTGTTGGACACCCTGAGGCTCAGGCCTGGCCTGGGGCCTGGCCGGTCTTGGTCGGTCTCACCTGCCACAGCCAGTAGGCGCAGGCAGCCGCCACCACCAGCCCCGTCGTCGGGGACGTCATCGGGGACGTCATGTCGTCGTCGCGGAGCGCGCGGAGCGGACCGCCGGGCCGCCGGGAACGCGAACAGCACCACGCCGACGACGAGGTCCCCGCGTGCACCTCGCCGACGAGCCTCCGGTAGACTGCGCGGCGCCGCGGCGCGCCGTCCGGGCGGCTAGTCCGGGAGGAGGGCCTTCTCCGCCTGCTCCGCGCTCCGCCCGCCTCGCCGCCTCGGCGTGCTTCCGGGGAGATAGCGTGGCCGCGATGGAAACAAAACCGCAAGGCGAGGGCGTCTCTAAGCCGCGCGCCGTCCTCCCTTCCTTGACTGCCCTCCTCCCCCCTCCTTTCCCTATCAAGCCGGCACCGTGCCAGGTCACCTCCTCCGACGCCTGCGCGCCGACTGCCCCATCGCTGCAAACTCACAACGACAATGACAAACACAGGCACACCACTGTCGTACCTCCGCCGCCGCCCCCCACCCGGTCCCCGAGTCAGTCTTCACTCTCTCCGTCTCTCTCCGTTGAATGACCCCCTCTCTCGCGGCCGCCCCCTCCGCCGTAATACAACAGGCTGTGCTGCATTAAGACAGTGGGTCCGCGCATATCGATTCGGACCGGCGCGCTTCGCCCCGCCCCGCCTTGCTCGGCCCCGCTCGGCCTGGCTTCGTCTCGGCGCGCCCAAGCTGCCCAAGGCGTCCACCTCCTCGCGCAGCTCTTCTAAGACCTCGGCACCGCGCACAGTGGGCCAGAAGACTGGCGGAGGCGGTCGAAATCCCGGACACGTTTTGAGCTCCAGAGTCGCTGAATGGGACTTGAACCGAACGAGTGACCCCACCAATGGATTGCTCTTCGAACGAGGAATCATTGGTGGGTGTCATACGTTCGGTTCAACCCCTGTTCAGCAACTCTGGAGCTCAAAACGAGTCTGGAGGTTGTCCGCCTCCACCGGTCTTCTGGCCCACTGTGCGCGGTCACCAGGCCGCGGCCTGGGCTGTGCACCCACTGTAGGTGCTATACGTCCTCGAGGTACTTCAAGTACTCTGGGCACCCCTAGGCACTTCAAGTACTCTAGGTACCCCAGGTACTTCCATTAATACCCTAAGTACTTCAAGTAATACCCTAGGTACTTCAATCAATTCCCTACGTACTTCAACTAATTGCCCTAGGTTCTTAAAGTACTTCAAGTACTTGAAGAGTACTCCAAGTACTCCAGGTGGGGCCAGTGCGCCGCCATTGAGCCTGTGCCGTGGCGGGCCGTGGCCGAGGCAGTGGCGCAACTCGAGAACAACGGTGTCGAGGTCGAAGTATGAACGGCCGTTCCGGCAGCAAGAGGGGGGCCGTGCCGGGCCGTGGCTGCATCGGGATGGGTGCAGCCGGGTGGACCAGACGCGCCGGGCCGGGGGGCCGGCGATGCGGTAACGCGGCAGGGCCGAGAGGGATTATCATTCTCGGACATGCAGCCGGTTCTCGGTTTTTGTGTTCCAGTGCACACAGAGAGGTCCCGCCCGCCCGCGCAGGCCGGAGGTAAAAAAGGCCTCGAACCGAACGTGTGACCCCACCAATGGATTCCTCGTTCGGAGAGCAATCCATTGGTGGGGTCACACGTTCGGTTCGAGTCCCATTAGCGACTCTGGAGCTCAAAACGCGTCTCGAGTTTTGGCCGCCTCCACCGGTCTTCTGGCCCACTGTGCGACACAAGTGCAACGAGGCCCCGGCGCGCTATGCTAAACACGGCCCGCTTCCTGTCTCCTGTCCCGCGTGCCGTGCCGGCCGGGCGAGACCGGCACCGCGGCACCGCGTCGCCAGTTCGGACAGTGATTCGGCGCGAACGCGGGCAAGGTCGCGCAGCGTAGCGTGGCGTAGCGCCTGCGGTGGCGAGGGTAGGCAACCACGTGCGGCACACCGCACGCCGGCTCGACGGGCTGGGCGCTCGCTTCAAAACCCAGGAAGCGTTTTGAGCTCCAGAGTCGCTAAATGGGACTCGAACCGAACGTGTGACCCCACCAATGGATTGCTCTCCGAACGAGGAATCCATTGGTGGGGTCACACGTTCGGTTCGAGTCCTGTTCAGCGACTCTGGAGCTCAAAACGCGTCTAGAGTTTTTTCCGCCTCCATCGGTCTTCTGGCCCACTGTGCACCCGGGTGGCGTCGAACGGACGGACGGTGACGCGGACGGCGGTGCACGGCCCCGAGTGACCCTGAACGGTCAGCACACCGTAAGACTGACCGGCGACGCCGCGGCGGTTCGGGAAGGAGGCCGAAGTCGAAAAATGTGCGCGCCCCTCGCTGTGACACTGCGATCGAGTGCGGTCGGCGACAGGCCAGTCCGGAACGTCCGAAAACCACTTTCCGCGAAAATAAATACCAGATTGCCGCAATGAGGAAGGTGTCGCGAGGCCAGGAAGCGAGGCGGACTGTCGCGAAGCAGAAGATACTCATTTTGCCGTCCGGCTTGTACACGCGCGACAGAGAGGGAGAGAGAGAGAGCGTGTGTGTGAGTGTGAGCGCGGCATTGTCTATAGGGCAGCCCGTGTGTGCCTTGCGGCCGACCGCGTCGCCAGAGTGACACTCGGTTCGCACACGTCCTGCCGCCTGACAGTGGGCAGTACGACACTCGCCGCCTTGGCAGCGCCTTGGCGCCGTGACACGAAGTGTTATTATTTCGGGGGACAATAGCCCTGCAATAGCCCGGTGAAAATGGCCGCGGGCCTTTAATTAAAATCCAGCAGCAAGAACCTCGACAAAAGCACCGTATCTGATTATTTTGTTGGTCGATGGTAGAGGGTCAGCAACGTCACACATTGGGCACGCTGACAGGACCAGGGGGAACATGAGTGACCACAGAACCCTGATGATACGCCCCACAGTGGGCCAGAAGACCGTTGTTGGAGGCGGCCAAAACTCTAGACGCGTTTTGAGCTCCAGAGTCGCTAAACAGGACTCGAACCGAACGTGTGACCCCACCGATGGATTCCTCGTTCGGAGAGCAATCCATTGGTGGGGTCACACGTTCGATTCGAGTCCCATTTAGCGACTCTGGAGCTCAAAACGCGTCCGGGATTTTGGCCGCCTCCACCGGCCCTCTGGGCCACTGTGCGCTGACTTGAGCGACTTGAGGACAGTGGATGAAGTGAACTCACCTGCGAGTTGCGCCGGCTTGATCAAGAAACTGCGGCGGTAATCCCAAGTAATCCTGAGCACCGAATCCACGCCAGCACTCACTCTACCACTGCGTCATGGCACTGCACTACCCCACACCGTGTCACCGCACTGTTCAACGCGAGTCCATGCCGGCACTGCCCGGGCGGCTCACTCTCTACACGCGCGTGCGTGTTCTTCCCTCTCTCTCCGACGAGTGCCGCTCCACATGTGGGCCGCGACGCTCTGCGCGCTCTGCACTGGCCGGCCGTGCAGCGCCGGTGGGGCCCGGGACCCCCGGGACCCCCGGGACCGAGAGGGCTGTGCCCCCTGCCCCTCTCCCCGGCGCCACGCCTCGCCACGCCCCCACCCCGTGGCCATTGATAGTGGCAGCCAGCGAGAGGGGGCAGACACTCACACATGGCGCGCACGTACACACACACACACACACACACACACACACACACACACACACACACACACACACACACACAAGTGAAGATCATGCCACGGCGTCTGGGAAGACAAGCATCGACAGGTTTACTGAAAGTGAGAGGATGCTCTATCTCTCTCTCTCTCTGTCGCTCTCGTGGTGCGTGCCGCAGGGGTGCGAGAGAGACAGAGAAATGGCGTTTCCGTCACTGTCGGATTGTCTCAGCAGTGTGAAGTAATTTCGTCAGGGGTTGACGCGCTGTCTGGACAGGCAGGACCGACTTGGAGGCCCTCTGCTCCGCTCTGCTCGATTCCCGCCGACGTTACGTCATTACCATGCAGCAGACTGCGATTCCGAGAGTCGTTGTCTCTCTCGCACTCGTTGGTCATTCCCTATGGGTGCGAGAGAGACAGAGCGACGACTCACAGTGGGCCAGAAGACCGGTGGAGGCGGACGAAACTCTGGACGCGTTTTGAGCTCCAGAGTCGCTAAACGGGCACCGAACCGAACGTGTGACCCCACCAATGGATTGCTCCTCCGAACGGGCAATCCATTGGTGGGGTCACACGTTCGGTTCGGTGCCCGTTTAGCGACTCTGGAGCTCAAAACGCGTCCAGAGTTTTGTCCGCCTCCACCGGCCTTCTGGCCCACTGTGCGTCTCTCGGCATCAGTCTGCAGTACACGGTGTTCCCGTACGTGCCGCCCCGTCCGCCCCGTCCATGGCGGTCCCCTCCACCAGCGCGGTCTGCATCGCCTCCACCGCGCCTCCACCACGGCCTCCAGGACCACGGCGAGCAGCGAGGGCCGCGAGCCTCCGGCCACTGTCGCACTTTCTCTCGGGCCGAGCCGAGCCTGACCGCGCGCTGCAGCGCCGTCGTCGCTCTGTCTCTCTCGCACCCTTACGGGACGCCCCATGAGTGCGAGAGAGACAGAGCGACGAAAACGACTCTCGGAATCAGTCTGCTGCTGGCTCAGGGGCGCGATGCTGTAATAGCCTCCCACCTCCTCGGTCGCTCCGGCCCTCTGGAAGCAGCGTGGCTGTCTCTCTCGCACCTCGACGGGGCGCCCCGTGAGTGCGACAAGGACAGAGCGAAGGAACGGTCCTTCGGAGCCAGGCCGCAGAGAGCGCCGGGTGGGTAGGCAACCCAACTCGCAGCGAGGTGCTGCGTGTGGCCAGAGTCGTCGTTTCGTCGCGCTGTCTCTGTCTCTGTCGCACTCACGGGGCTCTCCATGGCGGTGCGGGAAGGACAGAGCGACGAAGACGAAGCTGCGACGTCGAGCACAGCGCAAGACTCGGCCCACTCCGAGGGAGCCGACATTTCCTGTGCGTAATCTGCTAATCTGTTCCTCGTGCCTAATCACGCACAAGTTCACCAAGCGCGTGACGTGCCCCCTGCCAGTGCAGTGACCCGCCACAGCGGCAGAGGAGCAAGAAGAAGCTTGGCCGGCTGGCCTGCAGACTGATTCCGAGAGTCGTTTCCGTCGCTCTGTCTCTGTCGCACCTATGGGCGACGCCCCATGAGTGCGAGAGAGACAGCGACGAGTCAGGATGCGAGTCCATGTCGCTGACGGGCAGACCCCGCAGTTCATGCCGCCAAAGTAATCACACGTGGGGGACGGCCGCGGTTGACACTCCCTTGTCATTTTTCTTATCTGCAGACTGATTCCGAGAGTCGTCTTCGTCGCTCTGCCTCCCTCGCACTCACGGGGCGTCCCGTGTGGCTGCGAGAGAGACAGAGCGACGAAGAAGACTCCGTCTGCTGCCCGCCTCATTGCGGGCTTATCGCACAGGGCCGCGTCCCGCTGCCAGAATTTGGCCCCCTCGAGTCTGGAAGGAGCGGGTAAGGGAACCGTCACGGGGTCTCCTTTTTGTGCTCGCTTTCCTCGTGGCTTTCGGCAACCACTGGAAATCGCGGGGAAGGCAAACATGAAACGCGAAACGCGCGCGCAATTTTTCAATTTTTCGCACTCCTCCGCTGAAATTCTCATCCTAGCCTCGCAGTCGCCTCGCTCGCCATGTTTGTAGTCTGCTAGCGCAGGCGGTGGCAAAAGTGTAAACATCAGCAGCCGCCACGGCCGCCATGTTGTAGAAGATATGTGGCGATAATCCACTGTAAAATTGGCAGGTTTCGCGGCGGAAAGTAATTTGTATGTAGTGCGCGAGGGCCGACGGCGACGACGGCGACGGCACCAGAAACAACAGCGTCAAGATCGTCAAGATGAACCGCGGCGACGGCCTCGTCCAGCGCCGCAACGTCTCGAGAGAGGCGACGGACAGCGCGCAGAGGGACGGCGACGACGGCGACAAGAAACTGGACCTCGACGAGGAGGCGGGCGACGGCGACTCGAAGGAGACCAGACTCACTCTCATGGAAGAGGTTTTACTCTTAGGACTCAAGGACAAGGAGGTAGGCGAACCCTCGCGGGCCCTGGCAGCCAGGGGCAGGGCTCTGGGTGAGCCTGTCAGGTTGGCCAATGGCACTGTTCCACATCAGCTATCCTGGTGTCTGTGCCCAAATTAATTCTTGCAGCCAGCATAGTGCGAGCTCATTCGGTTGGAACTCGCCCTTTCTCGTTGTTTCTCCACTTTGTGTCATACCTGTGGACAGAGAATGTACCAGTTCAATCGTCAGCTTCATACGTCAGTCCTTGTCGACGAGTCTCATTAGTCTTTGTTGGCTCTTTTTCTTATCTTATTAAAATTGATGAAGATTTTTGTTCGCATTTTCACACGCCTATTGAGCTCTGTCTTGAAATTCACTCGGCTCATTGTTCTTCTCCTCAGGGCTACACCTCTTTCTGGAATGACTGTATATCCTCGGGACTTCGAGGGTGCATTCTCATTGAACTAGCATTACGAGGCCGCATTGAGCTTGAAAAAGCAGGAATGCGCCGCAAAAGTTTATTGAGCCGCAAGATTATTATGAAAAGTGACACGCCAACAGGTGATGTCTTATTGGATGAGGCTTTAAAGCATATGAAGGAAATGGATCCTCCAGAGACAGTCCAAAGCTGGATTGAGTACCTAAGTGGTAAGTAATTCAATTTTCTTGTTTTGCTTGAATCTCTTTTAAAGGTTTTCTCTAATATTGTATCACTTTGTTTTCAGGTGAGACGTGGAATCCTTTAAAATTAAAGTTACAATTGAAGAACGTTCGAGAACGTCTGGCCAAAAACCTGGTTGAAAAAGGAGTTCTAACAACGGAAAAACAAAACTTCCTTTTGTTTGATATGACTACACATCCTGTAACTGACAACACTGCAAAATCAAGACTTGTTAAAAAGGTTTGTTTCTGACATTTGTCTGACCAAGCTCTTCATAAAGATTTTTGCATTTATCTGTTACAACTAAAACAATTTTTATTTTAGGTTCAGGATTCAGTATTGAGTAAATGGGTCAATGATCCTCATCGCATGGACAAACGCCTGCTTGCACTGTTGTTTCTTTCTCATGCATCTGATGTGTTGGAGAATGCATTTGCTCCTTTAAATGATGATGATTATGAAGTTGCCATGAAGCGAATCAGAGATTTGCTTGAACTTGATTACGAGCAAGAAAGTCTGAAAACTAACACTAATGAGTTGCTTTGGGCAGTATTTGCTGCCTTTACTAAGTAGAAGGTATACCATTTGCCATCAGTGGCATCGCCACATAGATGAGACAATCGTGATAAACTTTCTTTCAATTTTGATTTGAATTATTGATGATTACAATATTTGGTCATCAGGTAAAGTTCCAGTGATCTTAAATTTTAAAGATTGAGATTTGTGTGATAAGTGAAAACATTCACACTATTCCTACAAGTAACTTGCCTGAATTTCATTAATCAAGGGACAGGATTGCTTGCATAAGTAACTTTATTCAAAAGACTAACTGCTATTTTTTTTGTCTCATCTTGCCCTTGCATCCTACTGATTGTACATTCATTCCACTTTTCGTAAATTTGTATGATTTTCTGTGATATGAAGCTTATAAATTTTCCCTTCAACTGAATGATCTTCAAAAGACAATATGCCTAGATATCTGCAGGGAAGAGCACATCACTAATGTAAAGTTATGACATAAAATCAAAAGTTGAATTTAAGTGCATCTCGGTAGGACGTACATTCAGGTGTTTAGATTTCTTGGAGTTCCATCACTTTCAGTTCAAGTTATTTTATTATTCTCAAATGAACTGCATCTTTTCCGTCCCGTGCTCTTGGTTTCACGTGGTGTTCACTCCCTTGAGATGTTCTGATGCACTCTTAATTTTTCAAGAGGTTCAGTCAATGCAATTTTTTGAATTTACCCACCTGCCCTCGGGAAGGTCTGTTTCTGATATTGCTGTTGTGTTTGCAATTATGAAAGGATTTGCAGTCATTGATCTGAAAGTGTCCTAAGATCTGAGAAGAAGAATCCACTTGATTTTTGGAAAGGCAGATGTTTCTTGTTGTTATTGACTAAACAAAAATCTTAAAAAAAGGCATTGCAAAAGAAGTATTGTAGATATTTTATCGTGTTTTATCTTCATTAAAGGTGGGAAAACTTTCTTACATTAAATTTTGTTGACTTTGTTACGTACAGATTCTGTACCAACCACTTAATTTGAGTTGTAGCTTGTTATTCTGTTTATTTTTTTTTGTGTTTTTAAGAAATTGTAAAGCAGATCCATAATTGTCATGGAATGATAATGAAATGATCTTATGAATATTATTATAAATGGTACATATTGAAATAAACTAAAAAGGATCAGAGGAGATTTAAAATGTGTATTATGTATGTAAGTATATGTGTAAAAAGTGTTATTACTAGTGTAGGAGCAGGAGCTGTGGTGATCGCTAGGGGTGACATGAGTTGTGGCTTGAGGCCCATGAGGAATTTCCTTGGTTGTTTGTAAATATTGATGCTGTATGTGTACCTACTTTACTTTAATATTTCATATTTGAACTGTTCCAAACTACCAATGGCACAAGTTATTACATGCTCTTTCCTAGTTCCATTGTACTGAAAGTTTCTAAAATGTGTATTACATGTCTTCAGTATTGGGTTAGCAAATTGCTTGTTTTTGAAATTATTTTTTAGCTATATTAAAAAAAAACCTGGATCTCCCCCGGCTCTAGGTTACACTTGCTCATTTTAACCCTTTATTAATTAATCCCACTGGCTGAGTGTCTTGATTGTGTGTTGGCTTAAATTCAAATCAAAGCTGATTTGAAAACTGTTGACGATCAGTTAAGGGAAGAAATATACACAGGTGGTACTAAAAAGTTTATTTATTAGCCACCTTAAAATAAAAAATAACTCAAATCATTCCAGAGAGGGAATGTGACGGAAACTTCAATTTTAACACATGCAATATGTCCAAACTTTGCATTGAGCATGAAAGAAAATTTAGTTCAGTCAGACTTAAAAGTGTATCACAGACTTGGTGCTACTATCAGATTTTATAAACCAAATCCCCAACAGCAACCTGACCATTTGAGCCTACAATGTACTGTGAAGAACAAATCTAATTTATGTCAGATAAGTTAGTTATGCTGCAAGATGCATACAGATGATGGAAAAAGAAGAGGGAACAGAGCACTACAATTAAATCAATGCAAATCGAGCTAGAGGAGTACACAATACGAGCATCAGAACATATCTTGATATAATGGCAATCCATTGCCCAACAACTAACACACAAGTCTAAACACAAAGGATAGTGATTAATAGATTTGCAAATTCTATATTAATGTATCTTTTTGATGACAACAATACTTGGGATAGGTATAGAGGGTTCATTAACATACAAACACTGACAACACAAGGTAAATCACTTGATCATACTTAGTCTTTTAAACCTAAACACCGACAATACATTACTTAAGACAAGAAGACTTTCAGAAATGAAGAATTGCCTTGGATAGCAACGCTCTACGTCTAAAAAAAACAATAATAGCCACACAGAACCAACTGTGTAATATAAACATCTGACTGATGGAGGACTACAGTGTAAAACCTTTAGCACAGCAAATAAAAATATTACCACATCTGGACATCCATGGAAAGCCAAGCAAGTGGGGGAGAAACTGTGTATAAATAATACAATTTCAACAGCTAATCTATAGAACATGAAAAATTACAAAATTTAGAAAATAAAAGGGACCAAAACAGATACAGTAAATTTAATTTCCTTAGGATACAACAAGACTGTGGTCCATGATAAATTGCACTCTAAATTTTAGTGCAATCGTGAAAATTTGCATCCATGACGGACGATGATGGTAGGCATGACAACAGGGTGGTCTAAGATAAAGTCATAATCACCACTAATGGACCAAACACAGAAAGGACCCCATAGCTAGGTGCCAGAAGTGGCCTGCACAACACATAGGCAACCTATGATAAAAAAATAAATTACTAACATGGTAATGGAGCATGCACCACGTGACGAAGCTGGTGAAACATTGAGTTTCCCACAGCCAAAAGTACTCTGTCCCTCCATAAAAGGCAGTCTCAACTGCTCTAACATAAAACATAACAACCAGTGTTATTACTTAATGTAAAAGGAAACCTATGGATGAGGAAATTTGTGGGAGGGTTGGATGATGGAGGTCTTTCTTGCTGGAACTGATTCAGGAGTCGGAATCTCTTCGCCGGTCTGAATGGGGATGAAGGGTGGTGGTCTTGGCTTCGCAAGGTTACTGGGCTGTGTCGACTGCTTCGCCATTTGATAGTCTCCAGAGTCAAAATACTTTTGCTGCAGGGGAAAATGATGGCATTAATAAACAACGACAAAGCAGCTTGAATTTTGACACATTAAGTGGCTTGTCTCTCTTACCCCTTTCAGCAACCGCTTCTGAAGGAATGCTGAGTGAGCAGGTCTGTTTGCAGCCATAGGAAACTTTGCTTTCAGTTTAGCTTCCTCAAGGTGTTCAATATCCTTCGATGTCATCTGTAAAGACAAAAACGTAAAATAAATTGTTAGGAAAATGTTGAAAGCGAAAGCTTTAATCTAAACAGCCTGTCGTTCAGTGTTGGAGTGGAAGCGCTAAGCTACCAAAGTAACTTGTAAGTGAAAAGTTTTCATTGCAAAAACCACCATAGTGTTAGGTACCCATGAAAAGGTGACTAGAAACACATCAGTGACTACGATTCCACAATGACAGAAGTTGAAAACGAACAAAAAAACAGCGCATAGTCAAAATCAGAATAAGAAAACGAAAGTGTGATGCGACTCGAAACCAAAATTAACGATAAACGAAATCAATCAAGTCAATCCAAATAAACGAAACTAATCACGAGGCCATGAGAGATGTCAATAGACGTCAATAACCTGCCAGCGACTACGCTTAAACTCTAGAAACCTGCGCAGGCTGCAGACGCCATGAGGCTGAAAACGGCGGGCAAGAAACCACCAAAGCACTGAGGTCTGCACGCGACAAATACAATTCATTCAAACTCGTCCTTCTTCGAGAACGACACAATGGAAAAAGTGGCGCCTTCCCGCTGCGAGTTCTGGGTGCAGATGGCAAGTCAGCTTGGGCTTTTCGTTTGGTACGGCTACTCACATTTTCCTTGGCGGGTACCTCGGGAGGGCCCATCGCAACAGAGTCCGCGGATTCGGCCGACATTTTTCGGGGGTCTGTATTCCAACGACTCGAATGTGTAAGTACAGTTGCAGCTGGCGCAAGACGGGCACAGGGCACAAACGAACGGTTGGTTTTGATCTGGCTGATGGATGGATGGATGATGATAGATTCTGAGATGTGCCGAAACAGGCACAAGTAGTGGGGGAAGCAAGAAAATCGTGAGAGAGCAGCGCCAACTGCGGAGACTTCTGGAACTAGACGAGTCTACGAGCCGTCTGTCCAAAAAGATAGCAGTCTAGATCCTCCATCCAAATGCTTGTCAGATGAAAAGCAGTCCTGCTGTGTTTTGAAAGGACATTATGTGAAACATAGGCATTCCTCTTACAGATATGAACTTGACGCACCGTTTAACTACATTCTTTCTATTCATGCTGTCCATCATCGGTATTTGCGGGGTTCAGGAGCATGAAAATGGTAGGTCTCCAGTAGGAAATGTCCATAACCTGAGCAAGATTGTGCTTGCTGATGATCTGGAGTGGTGCAGGTTGCTGTCTGCCTTTCTTGCCTTCCTGTTACTTGCTTACGAGACTCCCTTTCTTGATTTCAGCCACAGGGTTAGCCAATTTAATTGCGCAGTTAATGAAAGATGTAAGTATTATTGAGGGGAGTATTTTCCATGTTAAAGGGGTCATTGTTGTGGAATCATATGTCACCTCCCCTTTTCTTGTTTTTCTATGCCCATTAGTATCAGTTCGACACAGCTCTTCAAGGTGTTGAGTAGTTCCTCTATACATAGCTTGCGGTTGGTTTGTTGCAGGAAAAAGCCTGTCCAACTGACAAAGAATGCAGTGATCTGCCTGGCCATTGCTACAACTGTGACATCAATGAAACTTGCGTCTATGGCAAAACGTACAATGTTACCTGTACTGCCAAGCCTGCCTGTTCTGTGAGTTCTCAAAGGTTTTAGAAATTGATGACAAAGTAAATTTGTACCAATCTAATAACAAATTCGTTCACCAGGGTGCGACAACTGTAGAAAAAACAATGATATGTCGGTTTTGTTATCAAACTGAACATTGGGAACACACATGTATTCAGAAAGCCAGTTGTGACTCTGTTGCTTCTCCCAAAGCCTACTACCGGTATGTATTTTTCCGCAGAGATGATATTTTGCCTGCTTTGGTCTACATCCGTCAGTGTTTCCAATGTTTTTTCCTCAATTTATTTCAGGACAAATTGTTCTGTGAAGGATAACATAATTTGTCTAGGACAAAGGAAATTCTATAAAAAGCTGCCTTGTAATTGGACTGGGGGCTACCGCTGGAGTACTGCTTTAGCTCTGAGTATAACGTTGGGGGGCTTTGGAGCTGACAGGTAAGATTTTAGTTGCAGTCAAAAATAATTTGAAATGAATATCTTGGAGATTAGAATGCATTAATATAGCTGTAGTGTTTTGTCTATGTTGAAGTAACCATTAAAATATTTTTTGTAGGTTCTATTTGGGCCACTGGCAAGAAGGTATTGGTAAACTATTTAGTTTTGGTGGCCTGGGAGTTTGGACACTAATAGATGTTATTCTAATTGCCTTGCACTATTTGGGGCCAGCTGATGGCTCTTTATATCTGTGAATAATATGTTTAACATTAAGGCTAGTTTTTACACAGAAGATAAATCAGGACATGTTCAAAATTCTTCATTTTGTTGCATTTTTGAAGCAAATCTTTTTGCATTAGCCTGTTTAAATGTTGAATTGATATCTTCTTCCACTACCCCTTGGTTTTCTACTAAAATTAACTCTCTTGTCCCCAGGCAAGATGGGCTTGTGCTTGTCAACCCTCTTTTTCCTCACTCATTGTTTCCATTTTTGAGGTTGCTTTTATTCTTTTAACTATGATAATTTTTGGCTTGTGGCGATCTTTGCCTTCATTGAAGATCTAATTGTCTGTAACTTTTGTGTGTGTCTGTGATAAACTGTGACTTTCATGTTTCTTCTCAATGTACAAACAATAGCCTGCAACATGTAATTATTTCCATAGCCAATGTGCTTTCTATTTTATCTGATAACAATAGGCTCTTCTGCCTTACATATCAGAGCAAGATTTTTTTTTTTAACTCATTCATTACTGAAATACCTGTATCATGTTTGGCGGATTTTAACAGGCTGTGATAATATGTCTAGTTATAGCATTTTAAGATGACTTTAAGTTTGACTTTATGGCTGGCTCTTCAATGTCTTACGCTGTAAATTGAAACCTGTCACCTCTGACAATTAAACTGCTGTTTCATTGTGTTCATTAAACCATTTGATTCCATTTCAGTTATACTCACACTTTCAAGTACCTTTCAGATTCAAAACAAAATGAAGGAAAAGAAAGAACCCCTGAATAGTGTAATCTTGTTTATTGACATAAAATTAATTTGTCTGATATGAAATAAACTGCCAGAGCCAAACATTTCTTTCTTTTTGAAAACTGGCGACACTGTACACAATTAAGGATTTTACTAAAATGACAAAATACCACTCGAACCTTGACATGCAATGTGAACCAAATCTAACACTGGTCATTAACATGTAGCACTTGCCCTAAACAACGTTACAATGGATGATTCTTCTGTCAGTCATTTGTAAATATGCTTTTGGGGAATTTCAGTTGAGATTAGGCTGAATGAGCCACGAGAGACAAGACAGATTTACACAACACACTGAACAATTTTTGACGACACTCCTCAGCAGGACATGGAGTAACAAATACTTCCCCTGCTACTTTAGTTGTTTTGTTTTATAATTTTACCACGTTTCTCTTAAATTAAAGGGAATGAGGGGTTTTCAGTCACACTAATATGATAAAATAATACTCTGATAGTTATTGACTAGTGTTTACGAGACTTAAACACATGAAAGTAAAGAAATTATTATTCAATTCAATTGTTCTCAAGACAAATCTAACGCACATTCTCAGAAAATTTCCATGAGTTAGCTGCAAAGAAGCTAGATGACAGTGTCCTGACAAGTTATAGTTTAAAGTGCAATGAGAACAAGGTAAAGACAGTCTCCACAATTATCTTGTGAATGATGCTTAATAGTTTATATACAATGGCTTTAAATGAAGCCACATTTCCACACTGGGAATCACACTTAGTGCATTTGCTCTCCTTAGAAAGTGAGCTAGTTAATTAGGTAGTCACTAAAGTAAAGTGCTTTAAAAATCAATAGACATTAAAATATCACAACAAATTTTAGATTTGTGAGTGCCCAAACACAAAACATTCTTTATCAAAGCATAGAAACAAACAAAAGAGGAAAAAATCATAAGTATAATGAAGATCTATTAAATAAATAAACAAATATTTCACTGCACAGGAGATGGCATGAACTGACAGCTACCTTCAAGCCTTTGGTCATGATTTGTGATGCTCTGATGGAACCTTATTTCTACAATCCTTCAACTCGTTCTGTCTGCTGGACTGCCAATAAATTGGATGTTGAAATTCCAAATCCAATGGCATTCTAATCATTCCTCTACCTCTCACAATACCACAAAAACTTAAAAACAATTTGCAAAAAAAATCAGGGAGCAGTTGAAACAAGCAAAACTGCTTTCATAACAGGAAGAAAAAAAATGTGGGACACAATTAGTGGCAGAAAAAGCCAAAAGCAGGTGAGAGAGGAAATTAAACAGCACCCAAACCGGCACAACTAGGATGTCAAACTTATCTGTTCGAGACATTCATATGTTCCCACATTCCCCAAAGCATTGACACAATTTGAATAGCACCTTCAATAAGTTTCATGGATAACACTATTGGTCATCGGTTTACCCAAAAAATAAAATTGTGTTAGTTACGAGAGGAAACAACTGTATTGTTATAAAAAAATCAGTATCAATGTGACCTCAATACAAATTTCGCGAAGGTTCAAAAATATTTTTACAAACAAACTCAAATTTTTTAAAAACGTTTCTATGCCATCAAAACCTATCCTTGGCCAGCTAGGTACATGAAGATTTGGCTGCCAAAAAGTGAAAGTCTACAATATGCCACATTTAAGTTCACTCTTGTTTAAGAGAATACAATAATAAATATATCATTTTAGAAGTTAAATGTGCTTTGGGCAGCTAGCTACTGCATTTAACTGCAGCAAACACTCTGCCAAAGCCCCACTGCAGGTCTACATGTATGGCACTGAAGTTAGTTAGAAGAAAAAAATAATAGCTTTATCTTCTCTGAAAAATATCAAGCTTCTAAAGCATAGCTGCAAACAGTCTCATTACTGCTCTCAAAACCAGTGGCAACAAATTTCACATTTGAATCACTGACAGGCAATTAAAGTAGTTTCTATACAATATTGACACAATTCTCCTCCAGCCTCACTCTCTGCAATATATTAGCAACAAGATCAGATAATGCTATTAGGATCCCATGAAGCAGCACAAAATCGGCAACTTTACAACTGAACACTCATAATTTAAGATTGTACTATCCTTCACACAACAATGGAATCCAAAATCTAATCTACAAAAGAAGAAATTTGGTTTTTATTAAGCCCTAACACCACAAGCTGGGAAACTTTACCTTTCAGTTTAACCATAGCATGGTATGATATTGAACTTGATAGTTAGAAAATAAATGAATGAGAGAAAAAAAACAAACGAAATTTATCACAGAAAACAGAGCAAACTCCAGGTTGACAAAATACATGACAGGGAAACATTCTAATAATTTAAACATGGATACCATTTTGTTGCTGGAACTTCTTGCCAGCTTTGTATGCATATTATGGGCACCTATTTTCATACCAATCATCCCAAAATGCAACTTATCACTGGAATTTGTAGCTCTACTTAGAAGTCTATACAAAAATATATATTAATACTAAACTTACAAGCATCTAAGTCTAGACAAATCTGTTTAGTCTTAACTGCACATTAGTAACCTGAACCTTCAAAATAACAATAATAAAAACTAAAAACGAAAGACCACTCACGTTTACAAACAGAAGCACAGCTATCAAATAAAGCTCCAGCAATTGAATAAAGGTAAAAAATACAATGGAACATACAAGCAGAATTTAGCTCCTACAAGTACTCAAAACTCTGCGGTATATTTGATCACAGAATGTTCAGCCCTACTAATGTGCTATCAAGACCAAATCTTTTTATACAGGATATTTCAAGTTCACAAACATCTAACAATATCTTAAAGATGTATACTCTTTGCAGGCAAAAGTACAAATCAGTAAAGCAAAATGGCACACAGGCCCCACTTTGCCAAGTTCGTCTACTGCCTTAAATTCACATACAATAAAATACCACTTTCAGATTAAACATGTAATAAAATGGTATTCTCTTTGGATATACAATGAAACATTTATGAAGCAACAGTCTTAATGTTGTACTTCAAATCACAGCATTCATGAGAGATGAGAGGCTGGCTGTACACCTAATCAATTTGCCTACCATACATAAATTCATGACGATTATTGAGTCAGTGCATATGGCTTCATTAAAATGATAAGATTGGAGTTGTGAACAGCATGTAGCATGTGATCCAACGTTGAACATTTCTCATGTAATTAAAGTATGCATGGAGAACATAGGAAAATTCTACACAGAAGATCTAGATGAGAATCAAGCAAGAATCTGACAAGAACCTTGCAATAACCTGAGCAAAGAGTTAAAATTATTTTACAAATTCAGACCTGTTGATTTGTAGAGTATGTGAAATATTAATAGAGTATGTTAACTATTAATGAGACTCCTGGTATACATAATAATTGTCCTCTTCAATACACTGCTGACTGATTTGCTGCGTCATGAGAAATAGTGACATTGATACCTAAATTGCCATTATCTGCAAATAATTGTGCAATTGTTGTGTCAAAAACTAAGCAGTCTGAATTTAGAATTGCAGTGCTTACACCTTCATGGATAGATCGAGGAGTGGCTTCCCAAGTCAGCTTCCGTCTTGTACCATTCAATTCAAGCCTGTAAGACACGGGGAATTAGTCCAATGCAAACAAAACAATAAAGCACTTTTAAAAGAAGCATCTGGAAATATATGAAGAGCTTACTTGTAAGTAAAGCTTTCTGCCTGCTTTCTTGATCCAATTAGTTGAACAATAGCAAAGAACTGCTGATGTCCATCAAATTTCTCCTGTTTCTCCAAAACAAGCATGAAATGGTGGCCATAGCAAGACTGCATCATCACCCAGTCCACAGCCCCTGGCAAATTGATGTCGGTAGCCAGGAAAACTATGTCTTCACCTGAAGCAAAATTAAGACAATCATATCATCTGTTTCATGATCCAAGCTGATTATAGCCTCACACAGCCCATATTTGTCAATCCTACCTTGTAACGTTGTAATTGATTTGTGAGATATCATGAGATGGGGCATGACCTGTTCAAGAGACCCTTGCCATTTGCAAGAGGCCCCAGGGCATGGACACGTGTACGGTCGGAATTCACAAGCTTCTTCGTGTTCAGCCTTTTCAGTGTGCAGAAGACTTGCAGAGCAACCAGACGTTGAATATTTACACGGAAATGATACTGTTGTTGCAACCTTCTCCATAGCCAAGTTACGAATATTGCCTGGTAAAGGGTAAAACAAAAACAGAAAATTAAACTGCATCAAGGGACATTGAATTTGGAAACAAACAAAACAAAGTAGCACTTACCAAGGGGCCCCCTGCATGTTGGGCAGCAGGTAAGCTTTGGTCTGCAGTTGGAGCACGCCAGGTGCCCAGCTTGACATTGAAATATCGGTGGAAGGACATAGTCGAAGCATACCGGACATTCAAAGAGACTTGCCAGGTCAGCCGTCTGAGCAGGATGAGACGTATGTGCAGCATGATTCAAAGCATGACCTGTTGCCGAAGTAGTGTTGAGAGATCCTGCCTGCAAGGATCCTGGACCAGATGCCGAGTTGGAGAGGAGGCCTCGCCTCTTTGTCGGATTGACATCCATTCTCCCTTAGGCGTCTAGAACTGAAAATAAAGTCCATGTCAGTAAAGGCAACAAAATAAATAGACAAGACCTAACCGTTAAAACGATATACAGTATTAAATTTCAAGGACTGAAAATTTACATGATAAATAATTAAAAATGAAACAAAGGAATTTAAATATATGGGTCGCAATCTAGGTCTGTTGTCTGTTATCCAACTCCCATGAGGAACTCTGTTTTGATGCTAGCATCCTCCCAGGCAATGTTTACAAGAGTGGTTTCACAAGGCAATGCAACACTCCACCAGCCCAGGGATATGATGGAGCTCATGGAGCCAAAAGTTCCAAAACTCTCTTTCCCTGACAGCTCAAAAAACCAAGCCATGGAGGAATACCGCAGCGAAATTTGAACCATTTAGAGAAAGCAAAATAAGGGCACTGAGGTTATGGACAACATTGACGCGAAGCCTCGCCCGTAAAACGCCATCGTACCTGCAGTGCAACGTCAGATGTAGACTTTCAGTCTCCTGCCGAGCGGTGAAATTACTCCTGCCGATCTAAAATCCAACGCAGTCGCCATAAAGACCTAGGATTCCACACGCATCACCTCAATAAACTCTACAAATGAACTGGCGATCGCCCGACGACGACGACGACGTCTACGTCACACCCCTCCCCCTCCCCAGCACTATGAGAAATTCGGGCACCAAAAGTGGGTTGGGATCCGAAGCTTGCGTCGCTCGGAAGATCCCTGAGACCGAGAGTCCAGAGCGCAGTTCGGGGTTCATGGTTTGGAACAATGTTCGGGGAGACTGAAGATGAGGATTGTAGACTTGTGGTTCACTCATTCACACTTCCAATCTGGTTGCACACGTGTTCACAGGTTCCCATTTCGCAACGATTTTCGAAGTGCGTCTCCAACGACGGCGGGTTAGCGACTGCGGCTGTATCATGTCCACTGCCCAGTTGGCTCCAGCCACAGTCGTCCGCTCTAGGCTCGCGACACTGATCGCGCTGATCTTGCACGTCGAGTCGCGGCTCGCGCCAGTCGCGGCCCCTCCGCGCCTGGCCTGGCCAGCCTGGCATGCCTGGCCTGCCTGGCCTGCCGTCGGGCGTAGTCGGGGGGCTCGCGGCTCGAAGGGAAGTCCCTAAGCCGAAGTGCGCTTGGAGGGTAAAGGGGATGCGAAACGAACGTGTGACCCCACCAATGGATTGCTCTCCGAACGAGGAATCCATTGGTGGGGTCACACGCTCGGTTCCAGTCCTGTTCAGCGACTCTGGAGCTCAAAACGCGTCTGGAGTTCCGGCCGGCGCCGGCGCCGGTCATCTGGCCCACTGTGTGTTCATGACGCTGAGCACCTTGCGGGCCGGAGCCGTGCTGACGGTGCTGACGTCGCGGACCTCACCCCGGGGTGGCGGACGCTGCAGGGCACCTCAGGGCCTCGACGGCCACGACACGGCGCGCGCGGCGAGGGGTCGCAGCCAGTCGCTGCGTCTGGCGAGCGCGGTGGAGGAGCCCCCGGACCCCCTCCCCGCGGCGAGCAGCTGCAGGGCTGTGCTGCTGCAGCAGAGGGCCTCGTTGGGCTCGCCGGGGAGGGTGGCAGTGCCGTGGCACCCGGGACCCCCCAAGACGGGCCGCGCGGGGGGTGGGGCCCGGCGGGGCCCAGCGGGGAGACGGCTGTATTTAGACTGCTGGGGTGTGTGCCACACTGTGTGGTGTCTGGCAGTGTCTGGGCGCGTCCGCAAGAAGGGGGCCCAAGGGAAAGGGGAGGGGTAGATGGGACAGATAGCAAGCGGCCCGGCGAGCGGACAGAAAGACAGACAGACGGGCCGGGGTGACAGACGGAATTAAATGATTGGGGGAGACATGCGGGGACTGGGATGAAGGAGAAAAGCAGCGAGGATGGAGGATAGCGAGGGAGGCGAGCGAAGCGAGGGGCTTGCAGTCAGTAACATCACGGAGAGTAATGTGGTGTCAGTGCCCCGCGCCGGCGTGGCGTGGCGTGGCGTGGCGTGGCACACCGGCTCCACCATCCACAGCGCAGCGGTGGCAGCGGGGCGGGGCCGCGCGGGGCAGTGCGGCCGGCGTGCACGGCGTGCACCCAGAGGCAGTGGTGCAGTGACAGCTGAGCCAAGCCCATGGGGTGCCCGCAGTTCCCGCAGTTCCCGCAGGGCCCGGGCGCACGCACACGGAGCACACGGTGGTGACGGTAGACGGCGGTGCCCTCCAGCCTCCTCCTCTCCTCAGCCTCCTCAGTGAAGCAGCAGGCGAGGTCGAGGCAGGCCGCGCCAGCCGGCAGCGCAGCGGGGCGCAGTGCAGTGCGAGTGTGTGTCTGCGAAGCGAGTTCTGCGACGCAGCAGTGCGGTGCGGTGTCAAGTGCAGTGCGGTCCTGGAAGAAGGCGTAGTCGCCATGGTCTTCGGCGGCGAGCGCGGCGTGCTTGGCGTCGCCGGCCGGCACGGCTCCGCGGCCTGACGTCGGCCTGCCTGCAGTGCCCCGCCAAGCCTCGCGGACTGCGAAGTCGCCAAGTGTGAGACAGTGTCGGTGCAGTGCGAGACGGTGGCGTGACGCCGCGGCCGCCATGTGGTGGCACGTCTGGGCGTGGGCGTGGGCGCTCCTCGCTCTCCCGTTGTCCGAGTCGGGGGCGGCGGGGGCGGCGGGGGCGGCAGGCACACTGCCCATCCCCCTGCAGACCCGCACCCTGTTCACGGACTGGGGGCTGGGCGGACTGGGCGGGCTGGGGTCCGGGGGCGGCCAGGGGCGCACGCCGCAGCCCGTGTGCCTGGACATCCCCGCCAACCTCAGCCTGTGCTACGGCGTGGGCTACAAGCAGATGCGGCTGCCCAACCTGCTGGACCACGACACCATGACGGAGGTGGGGCAGCAGGCGTCGTCCTGGGTGCCGCTCGTCAACGTGCGGTGCCACGCGGACGCGCAGCTGTTCCTCTGCTCGCTGTTCAGCCCCGTGTGCCTGGAGAGGTCCATGAGCGCCATCTACCCGTGCCGCTCGCTGTGCGAGGCGGTGCGGCGCGGCTGCGAGGGCCGCATGCGCGCCTACGGCTACCCCTGGCCGGACATGTTCCGCTGCGACAAGTTCCCCGCCGACAACGACATGTGCATCGCGGCGCAGTCCGAGCAGCCCGCGCCGCAGCAGCCCGCGGCCCCCGTGCAGCCGCAGCAGCGGCAGCTGGAGCACGCCAACGAGCCCGTCGTCGTGGTGGAGGACGGTGAGTAGCGCCCACAGTGGATTTGCCAGAAGACCGGTGGAGGCGGCCAAAACTCTAGACGCGTTTTGAGCTCCAGAGTCGCTAAACATGCCTCGAACCGAACGTGTGACCCCACCAATGGATTGCTCTCCGAACGAGGAATCCATTGGTGGGGTCACACGTTCGGTTCGAGTCCCATTAAGCGACTCTGGAGCTCAAAACGCGTCTAGAGTTTTGGCCGCCTCCACCGGTCTCTAGTCAATGGGATGCGCCGCTTCAATGGCTGGGTTCGAACACCGGGCTGCCCTGAGCGGGCGTGTGCGTGGGGGATGGTGGGAGGGCGGCAGACAGCTTTATGTGAGTGTAGACTGGACTTCAATTGGAGCTCGCGGCTCAGCTCGCGCCTGCCAGTAATGGCCCCCTGATAGGGAAATGTCACTCAACGCATGCCCCCTCCCCCTCCCCGGGACGACATCGCGCTGTGCCTTATGCGGCCGGCCTCACGGCCACGGTCTCAAAAAGCAACAACAACAACAACAGAAAATGAAATGTTTCTGCACGTCACAGAGTCTCACGGTCCGGAGCAGCGTGTGTCTTATCGGAAAGCCTGGCCAGCCTCTGCCACGTTTTCATTTTATTTTTGGCAGCCGCCATTCTTCCGGGTTCGAATCCCGGCGGCGGCTTCCAGGAACCGAACGTGTGACCCCACCAATGGACTGCTCTCCGAACGAGGAATCCATTGGTGGGGTCACACGTTCGGTTCAAGGCCTGTTCAGCGACTCTGGAGCTGAAAACGCGTCTGGAATTTGGACCACCTCCTTGAACCTCAACGAGGGAAGAGAGGCGGCCGTCTGAAGAGCGAGAGGAGGCGTAGTCAAGTCCGCCAAGTCCGCGGTGCAGAGGGCAGTGGCCAGGCACTGGCCAGCCAGCCGGCCATCCCGGTTGCCTCTGCCAGGAACCAGAAAGCGGATTACCGCTCTTGCATAAGTGGCGCAGTGACGTGTCCAACGTGTGGCGGACGCGCATTCTCACCAACAAGGCCATGATCCTGAAGTCTCTCTCTCTCTCTCTCTCTCTCTCTCTCTCTCTCTCTCTCTCTCTCTCTCTCTCTCTCTCTCTCTCTCTCTCTCTCTCTCTCTCTCTCTCTCTCTCTCTCTCTCTCTCGCACTCGCAGGCCGTCTCGTGTGGGTGCGAGAGAGACGGACCGGCGGGACGACCCTCTCGGAACCGCCAGCAGCAGCGCACAGTGGGCCAGAAGACCGGTGGAGGCGGCCAAAAGTCAAGACGCGTTTTGAGCTCCAGAGTCGCTAAATGGGACTCGAACCGAACGTGTGACCCCACCAATGGATTTCTCGTTCGGAGAGCAGTCCATTGGTGGGGTCACACGAGCTCAAAACGCGTCGAGAGATTTTGGCCACCCCCACCGGTCTTCTGGCCCACTGTGCGGTGTTGATGCTGCGACACCCATGGACGGCCACGCCTGAGGCGGATGGGGCCGAAAAGTCCACCCGGGAAGGCCAGGCTCGCGAGCGTTCGCTTTCGTCGCTCTATCTCTCTCGCACTCGCGGAGAGACAGAGCGCCGAGACGCTGCTGTGCGGAATCAGTCTGCAGCTGTGAGCGCCATTTCGTACGCCTCCGCGCGCCCGGCAGTCTCTCGCCAGCCAATCATTGTAAATGGGGATTACGCCTGCTTTGTCCCTAAACCACTCAATTGGGCGGGGCGTGGCGGGGCAGGGCGGGGCGGGGCGTCGGGGGCGTGACAGCGTGACATGACGAGTGACACCCAGACAGGAGCTGCTACAAAGGGTGCTGCAAGGCCCGCTCCACCAACGCGTCTGTTGTGTCACGAAAATAAGAACAGAAAACGAACCATTCTCTCGCTTTGTCAAATTTGTTGATTTATTTCTTAAGCGGCCATTTTCTGGTGGTTGCGTTCTTGACTCGTTGACTCGTGTTGCAGCCAACGACGCCTGCCGGCCCTGCAACCAGGCGGAGACCTACGAGAACGTCCTGGATCACCTGTGCCGTTCTGACTTCGGTGAGTTTTCCGGAGGCCACACTGTGAAAATAGATCCTCACTGTAAAAACCGAAACTTATGTTGTGGGTAACGCATAGTGCGTCAGAAGACCGGTGGAGGCGGCCAAAACTCTAGACGCGTTTTGAGCTACAGGGTCGCTAAATGTGACTGGAACCGAACGCGTGACCCCCGCCAATGGATTCCTCGTTCGTAGAGCAATCCATTGGTGGGGTCACACGTTCGGTTCGAGTCCCATTTAGTGACTCTGGAGCTCAAAGCGCGTCTAGAGTTCTGGCCGCCTCCACCGGTCTTCTGGCCCACTGTGTAACGCCCCTCGTTGTCGCAGCCGTGCGCGCTCGCGTGCGCCGCGCCCGCCAGGCCGCCGCCGGCCCCTCAAGGCCCGCAGCGAGGCGGACCAGCGCCAGGACCAGCGCCGGGACCTCGCCGGCGACGCCCCCCTCCGGACGACGAGGGTGCTGAAGGCCGCCAACCCCGCCGTCAAGAAGCTGGCGCGCGCCTCGCTGCCGTCCCTGCCGACGGGCTGCCCCGCCTGCGACAAGGCCGAGTCCTTCCTCGTCATGGGCAGCGTGGGCCCCGCCAACGCCCTCGAGATCAGCTTCGTCCTCCCCTGGACCACCAAGTCCAAGGTGGGTCTCATTGCATAGCAATTTTGGCTGACTTTACTTGAAACATTCAAGTCACTTGATGGAAGTTCAAGAAACGGCTTTTGGACTCGGCTTTACCTTGCACAGTGGGCCAGAAGACCGGTGGAGGCGGCCAAATCTCCAGACGCGTTTTGAGCTCCAGAGTCGTCAGACAGGACTCGAACCGCACGTGTGACCCCACCAATGGATTCCTCGTTTTAAGAGCAATCCATGGATGGGGTCACACGTTCAGTTCGAGTCCTATTCAGTGACTCTGGAGCTCAAAACGCGTCCGCGATTTTGACCGCCTCCGCCGGTCTTCTGGCCCACTGTGCACGTGCCTTACGAAGCGCCACTCTCCTCCTTGCAGTCTATCAAGAAGGCGGTGCGCACCTTCACCAACACCAACTGCACTAACCCCAACCTGGTGTCGCGCACCGTGATCGTCGACTCCTTCACGCCGGTGGACGGCTCGCCCGTGGAGGCCATGGAGCCGCACCCCGTCGTGCCCGTCGCCGTGCCCAGGACCACGACGACGACCACCACGACAACGCCGAGGCCAGCGACAACCACTACTACTACGCCGAGGCCAACGACAACCACCACCACTACAACTACGCCCAGGCCAACGACAACCACCACCACTACAACCACGCCCAGGCCAACGACAACTACCACCACCACGACAACGCCGAGGCCGACGACAACCACCACAACGACGACTACGCCCCAGCCGACCACCACCACAACGGCGGCCACGACGACCAGGGCGTCGAGGAGGCACGGCTCCAGGCAGCGCAGCCGGCAGCCCTACTCGCCGTACTTCTCCGCCACGACGACGAGTACGTTCCCGCCGCTGACGAGGATGTTCCCGCCGTGGACGAGGACGCCGCCGACGCGCAGCTCTGGCCCGCCATCAACGACTACGGTCGTGCCTTCGACGGGCAGCCTTCCACCCACCACTAGAAACACATTCCCGCCCTGGGCCAGAACTCCGCCAACAACTTCGAGTACGTTCTCGCCCTGGACCACTACACCCTCTACAACTACAACCTCACCATGGACCACTACACCCTCTACAACAACAACTATAACCTCACCCTGGACCACTACACCATCTACAACAACAACTACATCACCCTGGACCACTATACCATCTACAACTACAACCTCACCCTGGACCACTACACCATCTACAACAACAACTACAACCTCACCCTGGACCACTACACCATCCACAACAACAACTACAACCTCACCCTGGACCACTACACCATCCACAACAACAACAACTACAACCACACCCTGGACCACTACACCATCTACAACTACAACTACATTCTCACCCAGGACCACTACACCCTCTACAACTACAACCTCACCCTGGACTACTATACCATCTACAACAACTACAACCTCACCCTGGACCACTACACCATCTACAACTACAACTACATTCTCACCCTGGACCACTACACCCTCTAAAACTACAACCTCACCCTGGACCACTACACCATCTACAACAACTACAACCTCACCCTGGACCACTACACCATCCACAACTACAACTACATTCTCACCCTGGACCAGCACACCCTCTACTACCACCTTCCGGCCGACGACCAGCACAACGACCCCCACGCCGAGCACCACGACGACCACCTCGCCGAGCACCACGACGACCTTCCGCTCGTGGGTGTGGACGAACCCTCCGGTGCGGTGGCCGACCACCGCCCGGACGACGACGGGGCCGCCGACGCCGCGGTTCGGCTGGGGCACGCGCACCAGCACGCCGTCGTGGCGGTTCCGGACGTCGCGGCCGCCGCCCGCGCCCGTCGGCGCCTGGGACTCGGAGGAGGACGACGACGACGCCGGCTTCGGCGCGCCCCGCCGGGGGTCGGCGGAGGGCTCGCGGCGGGGCTCCGCGGAGGGCGGCCGCAAGGGCTTCGGCGAGGGTCCGCGCCGCGGAGGGTCGCGGCCGCCCTTCGGCGAGCCCCAGGAAGGCCCGGGCAGGGGCTTCGGCGCGTCCGGCCACGCGTCCGGCGAGGGCGCGCGCTTCGGAGGGCCTGCGCGGCGTCCCGGCGGTCCTGGAGGCGCGCAGGGCCGTCCCCGGCACAAGGGCAGGCGCCCGGCCAAGCCCCGCCGCAGGAAAACCCAGCGAGAGAGAGAGCGAGAGCGCGAGCGGGAGAGGGAGAGAGAGCGCGAGCGAGAGAGAGAGGACGACGCGGCGGAGGAGGGAGAGATACCTCTGCCGAGGAGCATGGTCAACTTCTAGAGGGCGGGCCCACACTGTAACTAACTACCCAGTGTCTGCACCCGATGTGGGATTCATGCCGAGAAAGTGGGTGATGAAAGAAAATTGATTCATTTGTTGTTGTTTGTTGTTGTTGTTTTGCAGCAGAGATTCTGTTCTCTCATTTGTTTTCCCCTCTTTCTCTCCTATGTGTGTCTTAGATAAGTAAGATTGTCCCCCCTGCCGATCTGCGCACGATGCCCCAAACGTTTAAGTTTAAGCTATGCATAATCCAGTGATTAATTTAGTCGACTTAATTGTATAAGTTAGAGAAGTGTCAAATGCCCCCTCTAGTTGGCAACGTTCATTCAAGAGTGGTACTTACCTTGGCGGTGCCAGTTTCCATAATCACGTACCCCGTACTCATAATGCCTCTACTCTGAGCTTTATTTTTACTATTGTTGTATTATTACTATTATATAGCCCTTTTCATACTTCATTTTGTGGACATTGACAAAAATGACAAGACAATCGTGATACTATATTCCCAGAGATTTGCGAGATGAGTGAAAAATCGCCTATTCGTTCTTAATGTGATTTTATTCGTATGTACAGTCGTTTTAAAGCAATGCGTATTTTATACTTCGTGCGTGCGTGTTGTTGTAATATCCTTTATGATGTGATAGTTAAGTTACGTTTGTATCTATTTTTTAATTAAAAAAATACGATTTATTAACGAAAGTTTCTCTTTTGAAGAGTACGGACCTTAACATTAATACTACAGTCAATCAAAACCAACAGTTTCCTGATAATGTGTCCAATGCACTCATCGGCCGACAGGACAAGAATTCGCAGCCGCCGGCGTGCCTCGCGCCTGGCAGAGCCAAATGCCATCCTGTTGCAACTCGAAAACGGCACGTCTCAGGGTCACCACTCGTTGGCTGCAGCGGAGAAAACCAGAATTAGTCCAAAACGACAAAGCAAGGCCCACTCCCATCTCGCTCAACGTACCTTTGTAGAAGGCGACCTTCCTCATCGATACGCACTGCTTCCCGGTCTCCTAAAACACAAAAGCATTTTTAAAAAATCTAACTAAATTAAATCCAAATGCATCCGGGGACGGTGCCGCCACAAACAATGTTATTCAACGAATGTGACGTCACATTCAGACAAACGTGACAAAATTCACATTCGTCGAATAACAGTTAATTTTTCGTCCACTAAGGTGGCAACAGACTCGGGCAGCACTCACGGCGTCTTTCCGGAAGTCGATGTTGGTCCGGAGGGGCCGGTTGTGCAGCGACTGCGGCGCCCGGAAGTTGTTCCCCAGCGGGGCCTTGGGCGTCTTGTAGGTGCCCTGCATGAGGCGGCGCAGCGACAGCAGCTGTCGAATCGTAAACAAACAAGCAGATCAGGGAAGGAAGCAATCGAAAAAAGTTGTTGTTGTTTTTTCCCCCCACCCAGCATTGTAAAAAAAAAACCTAAAGGATGGGAATTTTCGGCAACACGTGGATGCTTTTTGTTCCTCATACTGAACCTTGGCACTTTTAATTAGAAATATTCCTTCTTTAAGAGTGAAAAATTAACTGTACAGTTTGCGCTTGGTTCCTGGGCTCGAGCGACCTGACACCGTAAAAAACTTCTCTATTGTTTGGCTGCTTAAATTTTAAAGGTATTTGCCAAAAACGTGCACTTTATTCGAAAACACTCTAATAATTTTGCGTGCTCGGTTCTCTCTGAGGGCAGTCCGCTACCTGCTGCTTGGTGATGTAGATGGGCTTGTTGAACACGATCCACGTGACGGTCTCGTGGCAGCCGGGCATGGTGGCCGAGCCGTCGTAGGTCATGTAGGAGGACGTGTTGGGCAGCAGCCCGTGGATAGAGATGCGCGTCACCGGCACCGAGTCTCCTGTCGAGAGTCGAGAGGGTTCGCACAGTGGGCCGGAAGACCGGTGGACGCGGCCGAAACTCTCGACGCGTTTTGAGCTCCAGAGTCGCTGAATAGGAATCGAACCGAACGTGTGACCCCACCAATGGATTGCTCTCCGAACGAGGAGTCCATTGGTGGGGTCACACGTTCGGTTCGAGTCCCATTTAGCGACTCTGGAGCTCAAAACGCGTCCATCGGCAGCAGAGTGCTCACCTCGAAATTGCACGCGGTCCAGCTGGTCCGTCAGTATCCGCAGCTCGGGGTTAGACAAGTCGCCAACCTGGAAAATGCCACTCGTTTCCAACATGCCGTAACTCACAGTAGAAACGAGAACAAACAAAAAGTGTCATCGCTAAAGCGGCCCACCTGAAGGAGTACGGATAGGGCGACCAGTCCCTGGGCTTTGTGGGTCGCATCCGAGAAGTTGACGTACAGGTCCGAGTTGAAGCCGAAGATCTGGATCTACGGGGCGACAGTGAGCGAGTGAAAGAGAGAGCGAGAGAGACGCAGCCTGAGCGGCGAGTGCGGCGGGGGTGCGCGCCTGCTGGGCAGGCAACCCAACTGGCAGCTGTGTTCCACGGGCACGTCCGCGCGCGCGGCGCTTGCGGCTGCACAGTGGGCCAGACGACCGGTGGAGGCGGACAAAACTCTAGACGCGTTTTGAGCTCCAGAGTCGCTGAATGGGACTCGAACCGAACGTGTGACCCCACCAATGGATTGCTCTCCGAAAGAGGAATCCATTGGTGGGGTCACACGTTCGGTTCGAGTCCTGTCTAGTGACTCTGGAGCTGAAAACGCGTCTAGAGTTTTGGCCGCCTCCGCCGGTCTTCTGGCCCACTGTGCGTCGGGGCGGGCGGCTCGACCTGGCCGAAGCTAGCCGTCGTACCTCGGCGGGGAAGGCCCTGCCGTCGACGAGGTGCTCGGAGCCGACGGCGTCCACGAGGCCGTAGCGGACGTGCACCTCGTGCAGCTGGTACTTGTAGGCCAAGGGGCCGCCGGTCACGTTGAGCGCGCGCCGCGTCGAGTTGTCCAGGGCCAGCACGGCGCCGTGGCCGGTGTTGGTCAGCAGGCCGTTCACCTGCAGGGACCAAAGCGAAACGTGAGGCGAACCAAAACTCTAGACGCGTTTTGAGCTCCAGAGTCGCTAAGTGGGACTAGAACTGAACGTGTGACCCCACCAATGGATTCCTCGTTCGGGGAGCAATCCATTGGTGGGGTCACACGTTCGGTTCGAGTCCCATTTAGCGACTCTGGAGCTCAAAACGCGTCCGAGATTTTGGCCGACGCCTCCGGTCTTCTGGCGCACTGTGCGACGGCGGAGGCGGACTCACCCGGTGCGCGTTGACGCGCACGTTGCGCAGGCTGGGGTCGAACAGCAGCTTGTCCGGCTCCAGGTCCACCGGCGACTGGCGATGCCCCTTGTTGCAGAGACTCCACTCCGGGTTGATGAGTCCCCAGAACGCCGGGCCTGATTTAGTTTGTAAGATTCGTGAAGCGGAACTGATAACGGAAAAGTGCGGAAAGCTCGCGTTAAAATCTCCACTTACCCGATATCCCGTCGTAGGTCCACCACTCCTCCCAAATGACACCGGTCAAGGCTGTGGGTCAAGAAGGGAGAGTTCACTTAAAGTTTAACTGTCGCACCGGCTTCAAAGAACAAAGAAATTCTTTTTGGCGACGAAGTGAGAACTTTCCAGAAAATCAGAAAAGTGAAACCAGGGACCTTTTCTTCGGAGACTCGCGGAATATCCGGATTCGAACCCGAGACCAATCAGGTGACGGGGAAGAACGGCGTCCCATTAACGCTTTACGGCGATTTCATTTTACGGTGAAACTTTAGCAGTGTCGCTGCGTCTCACTCTAACGCAGAGCCACGCATTGGCGGCTGTAATTCAACCGAGTCACTGTAAGGGAAGGCGATCGAGGCGCGGGGCCGGCCGAGCGGCGAAAGGTGCTACTAATTGTGGCAAATGAAAGACCGCCCCTGCGTCTGTCTCTGCCGCACTCCAGCGCATCGGGACGCGAACCGAACCAATGGATTGCTCTCCGAACGAGGAATCCATTGGTGGGGCCTCACGTTCGGTTCGAGTCCTGTTCAGCGACTCTGGAGCTCAAAACGCGTCTCGAGTTTTGTCCGCCTCCACCGGTCTTCTGGCCCACTGTCCGCCTGGTGGCAGCGCTTACCTCCGGCCTGCAGCAGGACGAGCAGGACGAGAAGGGCGCGCGCGGCGAGCCTGGGGGTCTGCACGGCCTGCATGGCCTGCATGGCCTCGGCATGGCCAGCGCCGCCGGCGTGGTCCTTCGTGCGCCTTCGGCCGGCACCGCTGGAATCACCGTCCGGGCTGCATCGTGCTCCAGGACGACGTCGAGGGGATGACGCCGAGGCCACGACGCCGAGGGTCAGACGGCGGCCGGAAGAGGGTGCTGGCTGGACCGCTGGACCCGCGGCCGGCGCGTGGAGCAACGGACTGACTTAGAGCCGCGCGCCGCTACGCTGCAAGCCGCGGCGAGCACGCCGGGGACCACCTCGGAGGGGCGGCGGGGGCGGACCGCGGGGGCGGGGAGTGGATCGCGGGGCGCCACCACCGCCCTGCCCGGCCCGCCTGCCGCCGCCAAAGCCTCTGTCCAGCAGACTCCGGTCGAGGGGAAAGGGGGGGGGGGAGGGGGTTCACGTGTGGAGGGGAAGGGGAGGGGCGCCAGTCGCTGCCAAGACGCGGAGCATGCAGAGCGAGCGAGGGAGAGAGAGAGAGGGAGAGAGAGAGAGAGAGAGAGAGAGAGAGAGAGAGAGAGAGAGGGGGATGGGAGAGGGAAAAGGTAAACGTAGAGTCTTAAGAAAGTATAGCAGCTGTGGCCCCGCGGTCATCTCCGCCACGTGGTTGACTCCAGCCCCACTTGAACTGCAAACGCGACCAGGTACCAGGTGACTCTCGAAACATAATCGCGGATGACCTTTCTTCCGCCCGGGACAGGAAAGGGAAGGGACTAGGGACAGTGGCCCAAGAATGCCGCGCCCTCCTCACCAGCGACGCGCCAGCGCCGCGGCACCTTCACTGTAATTCCTGGGAGGTGAATTCCTCACTGGGAATGACACAATATAAAAGTGCCGCGGACAGGCTGGCTGCTGCACGGTGGGCCAGAAGACCGGTGGAGGCGGCAAAAATTCGAGACGCGTTGTGAGCTCCAGAGTCGCTAAACATGGCTCGAACCGAACGTATGACCCCACCAATGGATTGCTCTCCGAACGAGGAGTCCATTGGTGGGGTCATACGTTCGGTTCGACCCCTGTCAAGCGACTCTGGAGCTCAAAACGCGTCTAGAGTTTTGGCCGCTTCCACCGGTCTTCTGGCCCACTGTGTGCTGGCTGGCTACAATGGGCGCCAGGCCAGGCGGCCAGGCGGGCTGGCAGCCGCGGATTCCAAGGGGCTGAATAAAGGAAAAGGGCTGTATTGGTGCGATTGAAGGGCCGGAACTGGCGGGAGCATTGCCAACAAAGTGACAAATCCTCCACACGGCCAGGCAGATTATCCGAGAGATATGGCGGGGCGGTGCCAAAAGCCAGTCTAATTAATAAAAAAGAAAAGAGAGAGAGAGAGAGAGAGAGAGAGAGAGAGAGAGAGAGAGAGAGAGAGAGAGAGAGAGAGAGAGAGAGAGAGAGAGAGAGAGAGAGAAGACGGAGAGAAACGGGAAACTCGTTTTGTCGCCGCGAAGGTCCGTCAAGGGCCAGCAGACTGATTCCGGGAGTCGTTTCCGTCGCTCTGTCTCTCTCGCACGTGTAGGGGAGGCCCCATGAGCGGCGGGAGGGAGACAGAGCGACGTGAAAACGACTCTCGGTATGCAGCGGGCCACTTTGGCTGCCGAGCGGCGAAGCAGAAGTCTTCTGCAGAAGGAGAATTGGCACTGCCTGCAACACGCTGCAATTAGCATCCGAGAATCAGCGGATCTGGGCCAGCCGCGGCCAGCGGCGGACTGCAGGCGGCGAAAAATTGAGCCCGCCAGGCTGCACACAACCGCCAAACAAAACATATTTTTAAATTAAAAAAAATAACAACAAAAATTTGGGTTTGAATTTTTTGATACGTCCGAAACGACTCCTAGTTTCGCCAAGAACTCCGTGGAAATCGTCTATGTCTTTCTGACAAGCTCCCTGGGAAAACAAAAACCGTTTATGCAGTGATTTTTTTTGCAGTGTGTAACGTTTGGCGACGATGCTATAGTACGTGTGAGCACGGCAGGGCCACGGCAGGGCCACGGCAGGGCTTTGCTGCCCCCTGGGCCGTCTCGGCGTTCCAGGGCCTCCAGGGCCTCCAGGGCGCGGGGCCGCACGTCGCACCATTGCTTACCGATACGCCCCCGGCCCTCGGGGAACCGGGCAAAGTATGCCGCCCTGGAGAGAGACAGAGAGAGGCAAAGAGAGACAGAGAGAGACAGAGAGAGAGACAGAGAGAGAGAGAGAGATTCTCCTCCGGCTGGGTCCACGTGTTACAACTCTGAGCGACGCTGCACCGTGGGCAAGAAGACCGATGGAGGCGGACATAAGTCCAGACGCGTTTTGAGCTCCAGAGTCGCTAAACAGGACTCGAACTGAACGAGTGACCCCACCAATGGATTCCTCGTTCGGAGAGCAATCCATTGATGGGGTCACACGTTCGGTTCGAGTCCTATTTAGCGACTCTGGAGCTCAACACATGTCCAGGATTTTGGTCGCTTCCACTGGTCTTCTGGCCCACTGTGCGGTGCAGTGGTCGACCAAACCACAAAAGCATTACAACATGCAGACGAAAAGTAATTTGACCTTCGCTAGCTGAACCCTTACAGCAGATAATTTTTTTTTATCAAAAGAAGAAATGGATAAAAACGAAACGGCTGCCCTTGGGATTGAGTTACCTCGTTAAGCCCTGTGTCTTTCCAACACATCATTTTTAAAATGATACGACAAAAATTTCGTGAAAGGTAATTGAAGGTAGTTCCGATATATTCCTCGGGGAAACACGTTTTGTCAGAAACTTGAAACTAATTTTTCCGCATGAAGTGCACTGTTTTCTTCAATTTCACGGAGAAATGGGCGATGTTGTCGCTGACGCCGGGATGACGGAGAAGGGGGAAATGTTTGCGAGGCCTCCAATTATGTGGGGGAAACGCGATCGGCGCCGCCCTAACGACGAGTAGGACCGGACAAGTCAGCAACCGGAATAACGATGGCCCCTAATCACTCGCTCCGTTCTGCAAAGTCGCTGGTTCGAATCCCCCGTCAATGCCGACCGAATAAAAAAAATCGGACGCAGTAGCTTTAGCGTGGCAACGCGAGCTTCGATGAGGCGCTGCGGGCACCGTGCATGAAAGAGTAAGTTCTTAACATCGCGAACCTGATGCTGACCGGACTGAAAACTCAACACACAATCGATCTCGGTTTGAACAGCGGGTGAAATCTCTGAGGCGTTTTAGTGTAGTTTTATTTGTTCGTAGTTCCTCGGGAACATTGAGACTCGTGCCAGGATTTTCCGGTAATTTGTCGGCGAGGGGCACCGGTGCTTTCCCTTGAGGTGGAAGTGGGGAAACTGCCGCGGCTTTCCGACCAGCTCGACCAGCCCGGCCAGCCTAGCCAACACGGATGCAAACACAGAGACCCTCGGACTTCCCGGAGTGTTCTTTTCAAACTCCGTGGAATATCCCCTCCCCCTCCCCTTCCCGCCCCTTGCGTGTTGCTCTCATTGTTGACGTCGTACCACTTACGCCACGGAGGTGCGGCGCCCAGCGTCGCTCCGTCTCGCTCGCACTCGCGGGGAGGGCGCGTCGTGGGGGTGCGCCCTCTCTCTCTCTCCCTCCCACAGTGGGCCAGAAGACCGGTGGAGGCGGACGAAAATCCAGACGCGTTTTGAGCTCCAGAGTCGCTAAATGGGACTCGAACCGAACGTGTGACCCCACCAATGGATTGCTCTCCGAACGAGGAATCCATTGGAGGGGTCACACGTTCGGTTCGAGGCCTGTTTAGCGACTCTGGAGCTCAAAACGCGTCTGGAGTTTCGGCCGCCTCCACCGGTCTTCTGGCCCACTGTGCCTCCCCCGCAACTCGGCCGCCCGCAGCACGGTCCAGTCGCTCTGTAAGGAGGCCCGCTGCTCGCTCGAGGGCTCCGTGTAGGGAAGGGTCACACATCCCGAAAACAATCCCGAAAATAACGAGTAGGAAAAGGAAGAGGATAGACTATTTTAGAGAATTCAATTATCCAGGTGAGAGGCAGCTTGGATTTGGCCAAGGGGCGGTTCGGGTGGGAGTGAGAGGGGTGGCGGAGGGCGAAAGGGGGGGGGGAGCGAATTTGAATCAAACTGGTGGAATTGGGTCGAGCCGACATACGTGGGCCGTTTGGAAATGGCCCAGAACGAAAGAGGTCGCCCATCAGAGTTCAGCACCTCCCCCTCCCCCCTCCCCCTGGCTAGCTCGGCCAACGGCCACGGAGACTTTTGAGGGGCTGTTGTGCTGGCCGCGCGATTCGGAAGAGTCTTTTCGTCGCTCTGTCTCTGTCGCACTCGTGGGGCTGTCCGTAAGCGTGCGAGAGAGACAGAGCGCCCGGCCGACCGCGGCCCGCTGGAGGGCGAGCCGGCCTAAACAAGCCGCACTGCGCCCGGCTCACATGCCACGTAACAACACGAAACAACACGTAACACTGGAAGGAAGTGCCTTCATTTTCGGCCATTGATCTGTAGAGGTGACCAGAAACTTTAGCTCGTCTTGTCTAGCTACATGGCCGTGTCAATTTCCGACGAATGGGACCAAGTTCACCTTGTCACGAGTATGACGTCACATCCGTCGAATAGCAGTGCAGGCAAACCTAACCACGACACTGGTCAGTAGCGGCGCTGCGTAATGTGGCAACGAGCCCTGGACGCCCCTTCGGTTTTAATCCTTCGGCCATCCGGACGATGGCCTCCTCGGCGTCCTCGGACACTTCTCCTGGAGTGGTTCGCCCGGCGAAGCCCGGCGACGATTATCTGCGGACAAACTCGTCTGCCGGTCCTGCTCCTCTCTCTCTCTCTCTCTCTCTCTCCTCTCTCTCTCTCTCTCTCTCCGAGATATCTGCCTCCCTCTTGCCGCCACTGTTGCCGCGCCGCGGAATGGAGTCACGTAAGGATCGTGTGTGCGCCAGTGCGGCCGGGTGGAGGAGGTCGGGTGCGGGGCGGGGCGGGGCGGGGCGGGGCGGGGCGCGGTGGGGCGGG